CAAGCACTTGGCAAAACTTCATTTTAACCAGAAAAAACCTCTGGCAGGACCAAGCTGAAGGAGGGTTGTGCAGGGAAACTGAATTACACCAAATGAGCATTGCAAGCTAATGGCACACTTGAAAATTTGCATTTTTTTTCTTTGTAAATAGTAAAACATCTTTTGTTAAGATAAGATATGCCTTTATTTATCTCACAATGAAATTCACATTGTTGTCAGCAGCACTACACATGGAGATATACACATACTATACAGAAAAATGTACATATAAATATAAGAAACAGTGCAAACAAGTATAAAAGTACACATAAAAAGAGAATAGTGCAAACAGAGTACGAGAATGGGCTTCTGAATGGGGATACATAGAAAAGATATATATATAAATAAATAAATATAATAATAAGAAGAAGAAGAAAAGGAAGAAGAAGAAGAAGAAGTGCAGAAAAAGTGCACTTAATATCTTTAATAATTGTAATGTAATGTCATTGAATAATGAAAATTATAATGCCATGACATGCTTTTAATAATGCTGTTTTACATGAGACCCTGTCCTTCTAATGCGTATGCACTAAAAAATACAACTCCAGGTTGTTGATGCTATGTAAGACCTTTGTGTCAATGTCTTATTTGTTATTTCTGTTTGTTCCTCCTGTTTTTAGGGAGTCCAAATTAAGTTTCAAGGCACAATTTCTTAAAGTTGACTTAAGTGGTTTGTCATTGGACCTTCGTCTGTCACAATGCTCCTCCTCTGGCAAGTTATGCAGATTAACAGCCTGAATGCCATTTTTCTTGAAGAATTATAAATCATGTGTCAAAACAACTGAATGACAAATTTAGTATATTTCTCTCAGGACATAAATGAAACACTAATTTTCCCGTACATTTTAGAAAACACTACCTGAAATATTTGCAGGTTGGCTGCGAGATATTTTAAGACATTGTGAGAAACTACACCATACTCCCCTATACACACTTTTAAAAATTGCTTACTTCTCAATTTTTCATAGGTTTCACTGTTTTTTTCTTTTTCTTGGTGCTGTTCTTTGTTTCTGTAGCCAGACACAGAGGCCACAAGTGAAAACAACAGTGAACCGCTGTTAGAGTAGTTATTGTTTAAGCGGAAAGTACTATAAATTTTCAGCCTAAAATGGCATAAATTTATGGCTAGTTTTACTGAGCTGCTTTTCCAATTTGCATTTAATTTGTGGAGAAATTATTACTCAATACTTAAAACAGAAGAGAACCGGTAGTTTTCTCTCAAACCCCATTTTGCTGCAAGACTGTCCAGGGCTTTAGTTTTATATCTCCAGATCAATTCTGTCTTTTCTTCAAAGGATGAATGAATGTCTGGGCCAGAGTAATCTGTCCTGCCTTCAGTCTGTTAAGCCTGTGCTTTGTCTTCTCATGCAGCTTTTATGGATGTCTCCTTCCTCGTTGCCGCTGAGGTTCACAGAGGTCTATGGAAGGAACAACCAACAGAAACACATCTCTTCTCAGTATCAGGGGCCACACCGCAGTCTTGAAGGGCTCTTGTTTTTTTTTGTTGTTGTTTTTTTGTTTTGTTTTGGGTTTTTTTCCCCCTTTAGAATTAAAAATATGAACAAGTTCTGAAGAACACAGTCCAACTACAACGCAGCTATTGAAGTTTTATCAAAGCTCCACTGTCCTCTCAGACACTCGTCACTCAAGTGCATCTGTATTTTGCCAGAATCCTCTGAAATCAAGCTGCGTCACCGCCCTGACTTCTAAATCTCCGAGCAAAAACAACATTTTTACTTCTCTCTACTTTAGACTTCCCTTTGCCTTTGGAGTCTGTGTGGATGACAGACAAACATTAGATAAAAGCATGGAAGTTTCTGTGCTCCATTCTTTTATTTTGTTTCAGTTACCCTCTCACTTTCACTTGTGTCCCATTAATTTTCCTCTAGCGGTGTCTGTCTGTGCTGACATTGATGGTACCTGATGTATCTGCAGGCTATGAAACACATGAGAGGAAATTTTGTTTTTTCTACGTTATGTACTTCACTTGGATTACACAAAAACTTGATGACTTGAGCAGGGTTTGCTAAGACTGCTTCCCACGTACGTGGTACTTGCTAAACTCAAGACTGCCAGCATCAGTCTTTTTTCTGACAGGTTTGCTCATTATTTGCAGGAGTGTGTGCAAGTCATTGTGCTCTGTAACACTGTGAACTTAGTCAAGTAAAGAGCTAATGGCCTAATTAATGGCGTGGGTTTTGGCATGCAGATGAACAAAACCACCGATTGACTGACCTCAACAATTATTAATTCTTTTCACGTGTTTTCCCTCAGAGCTTAGTAGTGTATCAATCAATCAAGAGCAGCAATCCTGCTCTCTCTTTCACTGATGGAATATTGACAAATGATGACATTTGAAATGACTGATGGACACCCCAAAAGGCACTAAATCTATAGACCCACTTGTTAGCTGTCCAGGATATTCAGTGTCAAATGCTTCAAGTTCAATATGCTCACAAGCAGCAAAGTATTAGAGTATGTTGGTTTGAAAACTGGCTGGATTTTAGCTGCACAAAAAATGAATAAGCTTCTTGAAGTCAGTGTTGTTAGTGACATTATCCTGTACATAAATATTTTATAATGTCTACGATGACATAAACATTAACTCCTACCTTTAAAATATCATTACATCATTACATGTAGAGTACATTTGGTTTCAGATGTTGTTTGTTTAAAAAAACATTTTAAAAAAAGCTCTCTGCTGCTGGAAACAGGGTTAAGCCGGCAGTGGGACTGAATCACAAAGTGCATTTACAGACTATAAGTGTAGTTTTAAAATGTACACATACCTCTACATTGCAATTTGACTGTTATACAGTCCCCGAAATAACCAGCTCTCTCAATTTCAAATCCTTTTCTCAGCATGTGTTTCCATCACTTTGTGCATTGCTAAAATGATGACATGCATATAAAATAAAGGGGTGAGAGAAGTAAGGATTAACTTCATGCCAGCATGTCCAAACACAGAGTGACAGAGCTGAATGTTACGAGACTGAAAAAAAAATGGTATTCTGGCTTAGCAGAGCTCAGGCTAGATTAGTCTGCTTTGCTATAGTATCCTCTGGCATTCAGGACTATCTTATGCTCCACATCTCTTTCTCATTCGATCTACTGTTCTACAATTCCTCCTCTAATTTCCCCTCCTCCTCTCCCCTTATTGTCAATGACTAGGGTTTTAATGATTACATCTGGCGGTGCCACAAATTAATTCCTGCCTCTCTGGCAAAAAGCTGTTCCCCACCTGATTATGCAAAGCAGGCCTACATTCTCTCCCTTTGAAGTGGAGGAAAAGCTGCTTAGAGATTCTCCCCTTGAGGAAACACTGCAATATGGGGAACATCAACAAACCAGAGTTCACACAAAGGTCAGCAGTATGGTTAACCCCAATGAAGGCCAACTTCATCTCCACATTTCACTGCTTTCAAGTTGCGTTGATGATGAGGTGGTGTAATGATGCGCTCATATCAGAGACGGGTGCTATTTTTCAGAGGCACGCAAAAAGTAGAGCAAAAGTAGGACAGCCAATAAAAATAGCCATATAAATGCACCCCATAATGTTGTGTCTATGGCCACACAGAGTACTTGGATGAAGCCTGTGCAAGGCTTTTGCAGCTTTCCTATTCCAACAATCATATCTTTGACAGTGTCTAGGATCTCTCAAAACCACCAGACATATATATTTGGTGGGGAAGAAATAAGGGTTTCCACACATAACTGCCTTCGCGACAGCATATTTTGTCAGCCTGTTATGTTGAAAAGGTACGACTATATGAATTCTCGCGTATTATTGTCTACCGTTGCTTTCAGTATACCTTCGCTTCTGATCAGAGCAATCACAGGCTGATGAAAAGCTACAACACCGCGATGAAACAGCGTCTACTTTTCGCTCAAGCATGACACAAGAACAGCCCTCCCAGGTAATGAGCCAGTATAAGAGATGATGCAGCTGCCTCAATCACACTAAAGGGAGGTAAGATGACAGACAAGATAGATGGAAAAGTACTTCTGGTGAAGTCTAAACTATGTGTTAATTCTGAACAGAACAATGAATAGCAGAAACGAAGACAGAAACCGTTAATATATCATTTCTGATCTTTGCGTTTGGTCTACAAATATGTGCAATACTGTTACAACACCCAATTAAATATCTAAAAAACTAATAGTGGCTAACACATCATCGTGTTGTTTAGCCAGAAACTAGAACAAAAAAATTCAACTGCAAGGAAAAAAATTTAACTTTAAGAGTGTGAATAAATATTAAACAAATGCAACCTGTAAGAGCTTTATTGTTTTTAGCTGTTTCATTTAATACTTAACTTGTTCACTTGATTTTTTTCATTTATACTGATTGGTTTGTTGATTGTTTTATGTATTTTTATGTATTTATAGGACCAGTATAGAATGGACTTTTTACTTTTTTTTTTTTTTACCAAAGCAAGAGAAGCCATGATTCTTTATTCTTTGTTTGAAATTAAATGAAATGAATGAAAAATGAAATGAAAAATACTTTATTCATCCCAGAAGGGAAATTCAATCCTGTAAAAGCTCACCTTTCTTTTTTTTTTTTTTTTTTTTTTAAATCAATATAACATATATTATATACAAGAATAATAATCAGTTTGTTCGCTTGCATCAAATAAACAAACCAACACAAAACACATAGATTTAGTTTGGTCAGTAGAGTTCTTTTGCCTGCATCCACTACATGCCGAAGGTGCATCAGTGGCTCTCTGATGTACATTGACTTTGATTTTTATGACTAGCCACGACACAAGCTGATATACTGACCTAAGGCTTCGAAGGTGGAGATTCTGAATGTAAGCTTCTGTGGTGCTTGTCTTGTAGTGTCATCTCTCATTCTCCAACTAGCACTTATTGTATTTAGAAACTAAAGCTCACACAAAGTGCAGTGAAACTTACAAAAAAGGCTCTCGTTCCAAACAGACTACACTATGAATGCGTTTTTTTTTTGTTTTGTTTTTTAATATTACCATCTCACATCACACAATAATGAAGTCTTATGTGGATACAGTGTTATTATTGCAAAGTACTGCAATGGAAAAGCACATCCGGTCGATATCAAATTATACATTGCAGTGGAAACTCAGGTTTCTGCACCTTGCATTTTCCAGACAGCAACAGCAGCGGTTCAGACTTAGATATAGACATGCGAGCAGTTTCTGCAATTTTGACAGCTGCGTCTTCCTCCTGCAGCTGCAGTTTTTTTTTTTGGTTTGTTTGTTTGGTTTTTTGTTGTTTTTTTAAAAAATATATCTTCTGTTCGGAAGTGTGTGTGTTTTTAAGATTGTAAATTCTACAGTTTAAACTGGCAGTTGAATGGGGCACATTTTCTGCTGATTACTGCAACATTACAGAGTTCACATTTATGTGGTGTCAATGTGTGTCCTTAGCCCACAAGATGACAGTCATGTACTTTAAGATGCTAAAGAAGTTGGGTGGGGAATAAACAATCAATAATAAATAACAAAAAATAAAAAGAAGGTGGGATGTAGAGGCTAAAATAAAGCAGTCAACCTTGCCCTAACAGGATTTTCTAGCCATTTGAGGGAAGAGGAAACAAACTGTGATCACACTGGTATACCATTGCATTTTAAGCTAACATGGGCAAACTTGTTAGCAAACTGCAGCTGATTTAAACATCTACTAATTATGGAGCAACATCGTCATTCATTTAGAGTTCTGTTTTTGGCATCTTGAAGACTTTAACTCCAATTGTCATGATCTTTTAGATCTGTTTTGGGGGCTCTTCCAATTCCGAAGGAAAATATCTGGCACTGTAGAAGCTAAATTCTCCTCTTAGATTATTTTTTCCTGAAACCAGCTGATACCATGAAAACAGTAAACCAACAAAATAAAGTCGTGGGCTGGACACATGAACTGAAACTGGAAATAAAGCTCCATAAACCCGAGGGGAGCTGCAGATTTGGCTGGTAATTCTCTGTATGTAAATCACAGCAAGCAGCCTCTTTCACACAGACACATTATCACATCGTCATTTGATACATTTATTATCATAGGGACGCTAATTATATGCTTTAATTAAATATATCTTGTCTAAGGTCTGTGTTGATGCAGATTGGAGACAAGTACGAATGATGTGAGAAGTATTCTATTCTTATTTGCTTATTGAATGTACAGTCTCATTTAACACACCCACACACAAAGACCCTGCAGTTTTCGACAATGAAAACTGCAGCTGCGACACTTGGCGGCACGTGTTTCAGGTTTCAACTGTCTTGCTTACCCATTACTTGAAATTGAGTTACATAAAGAGTTTCCAAACTGAATTGTGGGTCAGTTGGATACCTGTGTTTGAACTGTGGAAAGTTAAGAAATGTTCAGTTTCTCAAGGCAGCAGTCAATCAAATCGCATTTACCCACTGTCAAGCATTAACGTAATGCATGTTTGCAGTTTTTACATTGTTAAAACTGCAACATTTATGACTTTCAGACTTGTATGTGTTGACGCTAACATGTTTACACCCACATATCAAAACTACCGCTGCTGTTACTGTCCTCTTCTGTAAATGGCACAGGTTGGCAGAGTTTGCAGCATATATCTGAATTGTAAATTCTTAATCTGGCGCTTTACATTAAGGTAATGTGTAAGTTTAGCAGTTTCATTCTACACATCTTTTCCACACAGGAAAATACAGACTATTTCCTTCTTCTAATCCGAGACAAAAACATGGGTCCCCAGGTTTTGTTGGGCTGAGGGACCACTAGAATGCCGAGTCCGTGATGATAAGAGGACATGGTGCCGTTCTGTGGCTGCAAGGAGGGCTTGTGAGGTGTCTGTCCATGACCAGGGTGAGAACTAAATGCAAAGTATTTTGATAAAGGAATGGCAATCTCCTCCCACAGGTCTTCAGGTTCAGCCTCGGGAAAGTCACTGAGCACTGTCTTAATCACAGCGTGGTTCTCAAAGCTGGACAGTGTGCAAGTTGAATAGACAACAATGCCCCCTGGACGCACCGCTGACAGTGCAGACCTGAAAACCATAGACAAACATCCCACTTCATGAGAAAAAGTCTTTAAAATGATTGATGATGATATTGATTTTACACCTGCTTTAAACATCTGCCTTGAGCTGACAATGGGTAGTGAAGAGGAAAAGAGGAAAAAAGAGTAGAGAGTAGAGGTGCAACAAACAACAAAGGTCCTCAGCTGAAATCGAACCATCGACGTTACAGATATGTAGCTGCAACCTTTTAGCTGCTATATCAAAGGTGCTCTGGGGAAGGACTCAGAATTTGAAATACTAACATTTTAAATGATCATTTCACACAATTCTATGAAACAGGATGTTATAAGGGTTGCAAACAAACTGTAAACCCAATGTACAGTAGATGTCTGTACCATACCTGTCAAGTTTCTCTTCTCTCAGCACAATAAATGATTGCAACATACTGTGAGGTATATAAGAGAGCGCATTAATTAATTCTGCATTAAATGGTTTGAAGACAAAGTATGAGATGCTGGAGCCCTGTTCTATAGGAACAACCTTGAAAGAAGATGATAAAAGTCACAAACAAGCTACACCAGTGGAAAAGTTGGAATTTTAAAGTTTGACTGAATTGGAATGTTCAGATAAGGAACTGTTGAAATTATGAAGTGCATGTTCTGAATTGACAGATGATGCCACAGATTGTTGCTAACAGATAAATGATGATTTTATGTTTCCCATCTCAACAAAATTTCCATTTTTCCAAATTCAAAATTTGACTTTCTAAAACTTTCAAAGCTGCAGTACGACTGCACCAAATGCACATTTACCGGAAATTATTAAACAATGAAGGAGTAATATAACATCTTTATTTTTTTTAATATGTTTTCAATGAATATGAAAATGGTCCCTTCAAAAAGTTTCACGGAAATCGAAACAATCCTTCCTGGAAAAAAATACAGTTAAAATGTCCTAAAAAGTGGATTTTTTAGCTTCAAAGCTAATTTTAGGAAGACCTGTAGCAGTCAGTTTTTGATGTGGCACCAAATGACATTTTGATATGACAAAACTAAGTTGTTTCCACTCACAAAAAAAAAATAAAATGCTGGTTGGAATTGAGTGAATATTAGTGGAGATATTCATTTTTGAAAATTAAAGATATTCAGTTTTGATGATATAGATTTTAATTTCTGTTAAAAAAAAAAGACATTATCTGTCATGTCACATATCCTGAGTAGTATAATAAGGCTAACAAATAGAAGACATCTTCACATTGGGGATTGGGCTTACCTAAGCAGTTGAGCCTGGAGCGCAGGCAGCCTGCCTCTTTCCTTCAGCCTCTGTTCCCCCTTCTGGTTGCTGCAAGAATACAACCAGCTCCTGTCATTTGAACATGGAGCATCGACCAAAACCTGTGACAAAGACAGAAATAAAATTAAAAACGTGAGCAGTTCAGAGACTTTGTCAGAGAACAATCAGAGACAAAAAAAGAAAAGGAGGAAGGAAGTTTAAATGGATAATGAGGGTAAAAGTAGATTAAAAAACAAATGCAGGAGATTCTGAAAGTTACATTAAGTATATGTTATATTTTCCACTAGGCACATAACAGTAAGGGTAGAAAAAGAATTTCCCTCAAAATATCTTATACAGAGAATTAAGTAAAACACAACAGCTTCTGAAACTTTACATCTCAAAACTCAATCTATTTGATGTTGAGATGTAGCGATTTTGTGGCAATGAGAGGGATTTGATTTTATGAATCCCTCTCATTGAGACAAAACAGCTTCTATGTTTTGTACTCATCCGTCTTAAAGTCTTTTTTATGCTGTGTCTTACTTTAAGCCTTTTCATTTTGTGGTTTCCTTTTTTTAATATTTGGTTCCATTATCAGTCACTTAGAGTCTTTTGATTCCTCCCAGCCATTGTCTGCCTCTCCTATTTTGAATAAACGTTTTTCTTCTTTAGTGCTGGGTTCATTAGCTTACATTCAAAGGCTTGCTGTTCTCATTCATATGTAACCATGGCCTTGAAAAAGAGGGGTGTCACCTTAATTTGATGGACCCTGAAGTAAAATTCAATCGCCACGAACGTGACAGGAGTTCCATGCCCACCTTGTCGTACAAACCAGCTTCACTTTGCCCAAAAGACCGTCCATCCTGCGCAGACACAATCACTTGGCTGTTCAGTAAGCTCGGCAGAAAAGACTCCAAGGTTTTGGCCAACCAGTCCCGTCTGTGAGGATCTGGTTCGTTACAGCAGAGAAGTGCTGGAGCAGAGCACAGGGATGAGAATTCAGTTAAAACAGATTATTCACAGCAGATAAATTAATCAAATTAAGTAAAGTCAATTAAAAATGGCTGTTTTACCTGGTGTGGCACTCTGCATAATGGCTAAGGCTTTGCCACCAGGGGCAGAGCAAAGATCCAAAACTTTTTCCCCATCTCTGACTTGCAAAGCCAGCACTGGAAGCAGGGAGGCAGCGTTCAGGAGGTAGTACTGCTTCAGCTGGCCAGGCCTGTGAGCCTGAGAGGGAAATCGAAGTGCGCTTGGGTGGATGTAACACTGTAACGGACAATGTGGCAAACCCAGTGAAGGCCCTGATTGAGGGTCCTGACCGAGCGTGTGCGAGGTGCTGTCAGGCTGCGGATGGGAGTCATCAGGAGGGCATTTGTTGATGTAGTGAGATGACAACAGAGCGTCTTTTCCTTCTTGGTATTTAGAATTTGACACAGTGGAGGGACCATTGCAAAGCAACGCTGAGACATCCGTTTGCGGCAGCAATGTAGAAAAGCCTTGGGATTGAAGAATCTGTGTGATGTCTGTCACAGCGCCGAAGCGGTTGAGCATGACACCATACTGCCAAGACGGAGGGTCCAACAGCACTCTCCTACATGACAAAAGCAATCCCAGAGAAGGAAAAGTAGAGTTGCTCTCAATGTGAGACCTGCATTAATTATTTAAGACAAAATTTACCTTGCAGATGGCCACAAGTCTCCAAGTTCCTCACTGTACTGCTGGTCAAAGTGATTCAGTACCGCTTGACATGAAGATCTTTCTTTTTTGGGCCTTTTTGTTACCTGATACAAACAGACTGCATTGAAAATGTTGTCTAGAAATGCATCCTATATTAGTCAGCACTTTGGTTAGTTTTACTGGGACAATTTCTCATTCAAAGCTGTGAGTCCTACTCATGCAAAACTTATTTAGGCTTTAATATCAAGAGGAAAGATGTAAGTAAACATTGATCACATCTGAAAAAAAAAAAAAAGTAAGTCAAGTTTTGACATTCTAAATTCTGGCTTTGCAATTTGCATATCAAAACCACTGGAAGAGTTACATTTACATTTAAGTTTAAGGTGGATTTTCCCCTCAAGCTGCTTGACTCTGACTCAGAAAAGTTGCTGCCTCGTGTCTTATGCACCAACTACCCCTGGTGGATACTGCATGTAAAATCTATCCTTCGAGAAAGGAGGTAAGAAAGGTACAGTTTTTGGATACTGAGCAGAAATGTAAATGTGCAGTGTGTTTCAGCTCCTTCAGCCTTATGGCATTACAGACCTATTTCAGCTGAGCCAGATCCCAAAACACCATGACTAATATAGCCTGATGCATCCATATTATCCAATCTGTTCAGAAATACATGTCAAGTCAAAAAACAAAACAAAACAAAAAACAAAAAAAAAAATTTGCTATATGGACTGAAGTTACCCCAAACTGCTTCATCTATTGGGCAAATAAGTAACAAATATTAAAGGTGATTTATCATCTACGGTGAGGAAATCTGGTCCACATCTGATGACCTACTGAGGGGTTTGTCAAATTAATATCTGCAGTACTAAACTTAAGCTCAGAAATGTATAATGAGCTGTTGAGAAAAATAGGAAAGCAAATTAAACTGTGTAGGAGTTGTGACAGAAGAAGCTAATAGCAAAGCTGCTTTCGAGACAAGACAATGACATAATATACAAGCTATACTCATCTCAAAACGTATTTTTTAATCTGTTTACCTGATTATTTGTGGCTCCTTTTGGGGTATTTTGCTGTAAAACAACGTCAGAAGACGTGTGACAGTTGGACGACCACAACCAGCACAGAGCTGCCGGCGTTAGCTTCTTAGTTTCACAGCAAATTTTCTTCCACGTATTAAAAAACTGTACTGAAAACATTTTTTTAGGTATCGGGGTCTGTATTTTACCGCGTAGCTGACAAGTCCTAATTTATTTTCATTAATAGCAAATTTCTCTCATAAAAACATTCGAAAACGCTCAACGTTGACTGGTACGTCCTTCAAATCCGTCCGCTTAATGTTTCAACCGCGCTTTAGTTCCACCTCACAAACTGATGGCTTCCTCTCGATTAAATGTCGTTGTTGTTGGGGAGCCTAATTGAGACAGGTCGAGAGAAATAAATCTGAGTATAGTTGGTGATTCTTGGAACTGTGTGTTTAAATATAAATTTGTATTTAATGACATGTTGTCATCCAAGACCTCAGTGCTCCATAATTCTACTCTCTTCTGTGATACAGTCTTGCTAAGTTCTCAACATAAACTCATCGAGACAAAACCTAATTTTTCACTGGTTAAACCTTAGAAAACAACCCTTTGGTTTGGCTCCCATTTGGGGTCACTGACGGTTGAAAATTGGGGACCCAAAAGGGACCCACATGTGTTGTGAAATGGAGGTCCTAAGTGCAGCCCACACAAAACCCAAAAGTTTGCCGTAATGTGGGCAGGATGCACACAAAAAAAAAGACAATTTTTTAAATATCATATTTAGCCCATATTAGCTTCTCTTAATAGGCTCACTGTAAAATCCTGAATTAAATTTAAAATCCTTCATCCAATTTGCAAAGCTTTTAATGACTGCTTCATTGTATCTTAAAGGCCCCATTGTAACTATGCAGTTACTGTCCTCACCGACCTCCAGCATGGTCTTGTGCATTTTTTGTCAGTTTTAACATTTTCTCTCTCCACTTTATCCTCACTCCAACCAGCTATGGTAGAGCTGCTTCTGTTGAAGGTTTCTTCCTATTAAAGGGAAGTGTTTTTCTTCCCGTTGTCACCAGAGTTCGCTCAAAGGAAATTATTGGATTTGTTGGGTTTCCCTCTACAATTTTGTAAGGCCATCACCTGACTATGTGAAGTACATTGAGATGATATACATTGTGAATTGCACTATATAAATAAAACTGAACTAGAATGAACTGGATTCACTGCTGGTGTGGGTCCTCTGAAGGCCTACTTCAGGTCCTCAGTTTATTTCGTAGATTGGCTCATGGGCCAGCAGAGGATTTGCTTCGGCCCCAGAACTTATTTTATAGGTGGCATACAAGCCTGCTATGGCCCCACAGCTTATTTACTCCATTCTAAAATGTGTTTTTTGTCATCCTACATATGTCTACACTCTTCCTGGAGTGATAAAATGTTTGCCTTGGGTGAAACTAATATTTGAATATGTATTCCCCCTGGCAGTGCAGCTCCACACTGCCATTCATTTTCCCTTAATGCAAGTTTCTGGTTGGAAAAGTTGGATTTAACCTTAAAAGTTTCATTTCAGGTAAACATTTTCTAGTAACAGAAAGATAACGTACATTTACAGGACAATGGAAATACTAGCATTACATTAGCATTTTTTTGCAAACCAAAGTTAAAGTTATGCAGACAGAAAATATCGTCATGCTCTGTCTGAAGTAAGTTTTGCAACCTTTCATTATGAACTTATAGAGGTAAGTATCAGGGAAGTTAAGGATATTCTTTGCTGCATTAGCTAAATTTTGACGTTTTCTTCATTGTGTGGCCAATTATTACACAAGAAACACAGTGCCAGGGTCTAATGGGCACAAACAAACATAAAACACCTCAGCACAAATGTACAGACACACTTCAGGAATTAAATGTTTTACTTGTGTTGTTGGTTGCAGGTTTCTTAACAAAAATGTTTCATTAAATATACAATATAATGACAAAACCGTCATTAAAATGAGTTGCAATTGCCAGAGTTTTAACAGCAACGGATTCACAACCTTTCAAGAAACACTCACAAACAAGAAAAAGCAACACAATAAGCTGAGGTCACCCTAACAAAACCGCTAATTCTTGTTAATATTGTGATATATCCTTTCACAGTAAAATCGCCGAACCGGTTTACATGGCGAACAGAATGAGGAATGCAACCATCAGACAGAAGAGACCCATAGCTTCAGACAGAGCGAAGCCCAAGATGGCATAAGAGAACAGCTGCTGCTTCAGAGACGGGTTCCTGTTGAGAAACAGAGGTGCAGATGAGATGAGTGGAGGCACAAAGAGTTTGAAGTACAACTGCTAAGCTTTTTTGTGATTCTCCATAAAAGATGTATTACATGTGACCAAATAACTTTCAGTAAATAGAGAATACTAATAGTACTGAATGTTCTTCAATATTTTGGTTCAAAAACTGCATTAAACTATTTTTGACCATGCAAACATAGCACTGCCATTTTGAAAATCAAGTATGGCTCCCATAGTTTTACAGTCACAGCTAATACAATCATCAAATGGCGGTAATCTAATCAAGTCTAAGCCACATCTCAAATCTAAATATTTGCTCATTGACAAAAACATTATCTGCCCACCAGATCACAGATCATCCTACCCTGGTGGAGATTTAAAAATTTCCTCCAGTCACAGATAATGTGTTTAATTTACCTGGCATATCCGATGATAAGGCTACCGAACACTGTTCCAATTCCAGCTCCGGATCCAGCCACTCCCACCGTGGCAGCTCCTGCTCCAATGAACTTTGCAGCGGTGTCGATGTCGTGGCTCACGGCGCTGGTTTGGAATCCCCGAACCGCCACCTGCTGCTGGGACGCTGCGATATTCTGTGGTGCCAGAAGTGAAGCAGTCTGACGTACAAAAATAAGTGAGTTTAGCAGAATACAAGGGCAGTACAGGATTGCCGAGTGACAGCTATAAAATATCAGCAGTGGTTTGCATGGTTCCAAGTTAGTGACTTACATTTTGTTTAGAAATGATACGTTGATAAACTGATTAACAAAATAAATCGATAATCACTCCATCAGTTCTGTAATTTTTAAGCATAAATTATGAACAATAACTTGTAGTTTGTCACTTGTGAGGATTTTGTGCTTTTATTCATCTTATGGAAGTCTAACCTGATCATTTTAGGGTTATTTGATAAATGGTTGGAAAAAACAAGGTTTTGAAAATACCACAATGGCCTTGAAGATATAGATGCCTTTAGTTTTATTTCACTAATTGAATGATTAGTTGTTTCAATAGAAAATGACATGGAAAATAACGTTTTTTTTGTTTTACCTAGCAGATGTGAAGGTTTTGTCATCATCAAATGTGCAGATCAGCTCAGCACTTGTTTGAAATAAGTCAACGTTACAAACAACTTTAAGCCTGTCTCTACTATGTACCTCATTAAGTCTCTCCGTAAGCTCAAGTGAATATTAATGTAGCTTTAGGAACGTGCAGCAAACATCACATGTTGATATGCAAACTGCATTTGTTTCTAAAGCTAAAGTTGAAGTTAACTGCAAATGTCAGCATTGCTTTTGCTGATGATTTACAAACATCAAATCATACTTCTCAATGGGAAACACTTACTGATAGACAGGTTGCTTTCAGCTCCTAATTCTCCTGTCACGTCCCTGCCTGTTTTTGTACTGGACACATAAAAAACTGTAAAATTCAGTAACTTTGTTGCCCAACTACATTTTGTAATATGAGGGCCTTTTCCTAAGTGTTGCACTAGCTATAGGTTTAAAACAAAAGAATTTAATCTTAACTTCTCCTTGGATAAATATGTAAAGGGATTGTCTAATTACTCTATTTGTATGAAAAATAAGGCACTGGAAATAGCAAAGAGGATTAATGGAGTTGTGATAGCCTCTTCCTGTGTAAATAATTCACTTTGAGTTCATGTCTTAACTGCCCACCTCTGCTTTCCTGCCATCTGACAGTACTGCTGCTGAGATTGGTCTGTACAGAACCCGGGATCCAACACGGACCTGTGACAAGACAAAATATACATGCATTTATATATGCAAATAAATTATTTGAATAGCATCTGTGATGTCTGTACACACAATACCACATTGTGGTGGTACTGTGAGAAGACACTGCATGTATTCAAAGAGCTACATCAAAGGAAGAAATTGATCAGACACTTTTTCCTCACAATCAGTAAGATTAGAAAGGAATAAATATTTGAATAGTGTCTGTCTACTTGTATACCATCACCTTAGCGCTTGCTAATGAGAATTTGGAAATAAAAACATTTATCTACTGTGTATACTGTGTTAACTCAAGTTTGCTATTGATAATTGTAAATCTACATATACACACATTATATAGAGTTTATAAATCAATATGGCAGTCATCTACTTTGTTAAGTCAGGTCAACAATGAGAATTTGAAATCTATATACAAAGAAATTATATGGAATTTGTAAATGAAAACAATGTTAATCCACTGTGTATAGTGTGTTTGCTTAAGTATACTGAGGCCAAAGCAAAAAATAAAATCCAAATATTTATACATCATTATCAGTAATGAATCAATAGCAGTATCAATAATCACACAAATTTGTAGAATGGTATAGACACATTAACACACATTCAGATGATAAATTTATAGACAAATAGATAAATGAAAATTATTAGATAATTTTAGTGACATTGCTGTGATTATACGTACTTTGCCCAAGACAGAATCCCAGTCATGTGTTTTCATCCACAGTAATATTCAGCTTATTCAGTATTAAATCTGGTTAGCTGTAACTGCAATCATTGCAGTGTTGCTGAGGATTAATTCTACTTGATCTGCACAGTTCTTAACTTGTATATGGCTTCTTCTTAATTCCACTACATTAAACCTTTTAAATTCAGATGATGCTGATTCATAATTGCTTAATAAAAGGTGGAGGAACTATTTCACACGTGGAAACGGTGAACATGCAGCGGTTTGTCCTGACAAACCAGGACGTCCTTGCAGGTGAGCAGCAGCTGACTTTAGCAGAGGGTCAAAGACGCTACACAGCTCAGCACCAGCGTTAGCAGCATGCTAACTCTCACTGCTAACTGCTCGCCGTGAACGACAGCGTCTTATAGACTGTCTTAATGTAAACATGTGCGGTTTAATTTAATGGCACAGCACTTAGTACAGTTAGCAGCTAGCGTCCAGTCGTGCAAACTCACCAGAGAGGGCGTGGAGACGAACTTAGCACAGGCGTACATTATGATGGGACTGTGTGCTTCAGGTCAATCCAAGCAGCTGGCGTTTCTCCGACGTCTGCAGAAAGCATTTGAACACAACAACATACAGCGTTAGCATCACTGACGCTGTTAGCTAGTCTGCTAAATGAGAAAGTACAATGTGTGCAAAGTTGAGTGGACACACAAATAAGGTCAAGATGAGCCGCAAACCCACACAACGTCGCTGAAAACGAGCAAGCTGCAAAACAGAACGGTGAATGAAACCGCAATGACACGAGTGACACAGAAGTGTCGGGTTTTTAACAGTCGAGCTTCACGGCTTTAGTGACAGAGGAGGTTAAACACTCACCGGTCTGTAGTAGAGGTCGAACACACGAGAGGCGTGCGCAATGTCACGTTTAAAGGGGTTGACTTCCGGTTTCCTGGTGTGGGATAGAGATGGGAAGTTCGGCTTTGTTCAAAGAGCCGGCTCTTGTGGCACAGCTCCCAAAGAAGAGCCGGCTCGTTTTTGTTTTTATTTTAAGATCACTCCAAATATGTAGTTGGATTTGCAGGACAAGTGAAATAAGCCTGGATCAAAGGAATAAAAAAATAAAAAAAATAAAAAAATCTCATAGTGCCACAATGAGAAATTGAAAAATGAAAAAATGACACTTGATCCAGATTTGCTGTAATAGCAAAAGCAAGAGAAATAGTAAATGAACTTTGCAATGTTGATTTGAGAGGGGAAAAGGTACAATCTGAGAAGAGTTTTAGAGCGAAATATTAACAGCGATATGAGGGTATAAAAATAATGCAAGCATCAGCAGCATCGATACCTACATCGCGACTTTTCTATAATAGTGGTGATGTAGACACCTGACACACTGAAGTTTACGTGGTTAAACTGTAATGCAAAACTTGAAACCAGAAGAGGGCAGCAACACACCATGCAGAGTCTATCTTTTTTTTTTTAAATGGAAAATTAATGTTGCCTGTCGGGCACGTACTGCTGTAGGTCACAAGAAAATATATGCAAAATATGCTGAATCCAAGATTAACACAACACCTACAGAGGTGAAACAGAGACAAGTGACTTGCCTCAATTACCGTGTTGCACAGCTCAGATATAGAAACTGAAAGACTTTTGCATTATTCAATGCATGGATTAGAAAAAGCAAACATTAGTGGTATAGGTCAGACCTGTCAGCTGAGAGGGATTTGTGCCTGCAACCTTTTCTTCAAACAGCAAGGTGGTGGGTGGAGAACAAGGGATGAATGATAATTGAATGGCACGTGTGTAGAATTTGTATGTGTTTATATTGCATTCCCCATTTTATTGTTATGCACAGAAATGACTGTAAATGCCATGGTAAAGGACTGCCACAGACTATGGACTTGATAAACGTTTTGCAAGTTCGAGGCCTCAATTCTTTTTTTCTTTTTCTTTTTCAGATAATATTGTATTTTGGTGCAAATAAGAGAAACAAATTAACAAAAATACAGTAATGTTGGGTAGGCATTGACCTCCACCTTGCAGTGGCCATGAAGCTCAAATAGGATGAGAAATTTATGCAAGACAAGAGATCATATTTCAATAAAAGCCTTCATTTGATCCATGCTTTGCTGCCTAATACACAGTAACCTCTTGTTTCATGGTGGATATGATGTGGATATTCCACCTACTCCGGTCTCCCTAAATAAATATCAAATATTTATACTCTGGCTTTAAGTAGGCTTTCCCTGTTCAAAGATTCGTCTCTGTCTGCCCCCTCAAAAGTGAGCTCTATTTGGCGAGGCGGAAGGGGAGATTCCTCAGCTCTTCCAGTCATCCACCCCCTCCTCTGCGTGATGTGACCGTTACGCACCACTATAATAAACGGAGACGTGATTCTCCGGGGCGAATCCCTGCCAACGTCACTCCAGTCCGGTATAAATAGGCTGAGCAGCCACTCCGATCAGACTCAAGCAAAACCGCATTTTCGACTACAACAACTTTTCAAAGGATTACTTGATTGCCATCGTTGGACTGAATTTTCACCACCGAGTAAGTGTCTTTAATACTCGTGAGAAATTTCAAGATGTAGTTTGACTTTATGTTTAGTTGAATAAACATGTGGTCAGGTCAGGTGTAAACAATTTTTAATTTAACAGCATGACTTATTATGATAAACGTGCGAAAATGCCTTTCCTGCTTTAAAAAATGTGATTAAATCTAAAACAAGCATATTTACGCACTACACGTGTATCCACAGATCTTCAGCACAAACACAATGACTTTGAACAAGGGTGACAAATTGCGGAACATGGACAAAAGGAGAGGAAGCATGCCGTTCCCCATGAATCTCCCCAACCTACACAGGAGAAGCATGCCCGTGGACGACCGGGACTTGCGCGCCACGATGCCACAGACTGGACAGACCGACGAGCTGTCCAACCTACTGCGCTGCACGTCCTACTCCCCGAGCGAGCAGCACCGGGGCAGCTGCGCGTCGGACTCCTCCGACTCGGTCATCTCCACCGGCAGCGAAGCTGAGTCCCAGGTGTACAAGGTGGTTCTTCTCGGAGAGCACGGGGTCGGGAAGTCCAGTCTGGCGCGCGTCTTTGGAGGAGTTGAGGATGCTGGTCACGACTGCGATGAAGCAGGTAAATGTTGATGCTGAGGATGAGTCATCAACCCTGGCAACCCACACTCATGGATAGGGAAGATGTTCATTGTCTATGAATATATTATGCAATAATTAGGCCTGTCAAAGGTTAATTTAGTTTACATAATGGTGAACAATCCATGATTCTATTGTGTTGCCAGTTTTAGCTTAGAGATACAAGGTGCAATAGATGATGTGCAGCTCTGACATACACATTTTACTTTTTTAAATTAACCTATTCCTAACCTTTAAAACAACATTTTGAATTCATTAAATAACCAACAATGATATAGGTTTGTTTTTGTTTTTTTCATTACATAAATGCTACATGGAACCCTAACAGCTGTCTAATCCAGAATTCTATGTATCTATGAGGGCAGCGATAAAGTTTGCCTGATGGATTAGACAAGACAGGATTCTTATTTTTGCACGCAAGAGTGTACATGCATTGATTATTGCTATTTCCATCTACAGCGAGGCACCACTCTTGCCCTCAGTAGTGCAGCTGTCAGGAACGCATCCAGTAGCATAATGTGAAGGGAAAATATAAAAGGCCAGCGTTGGCATGATCACAGACTGCAATCAGCTTCCCACATCAATGTGTAGACTGCAAAAGAAAGGGGAAAAAATGTGCCAAAAAGTCAGAGTGAAGAAACGCAGCAGCAGCAACGCACACTGACAGCAAACAAAGACTGTTTAGATAAGAGACGCTTTACTCCTCTCTGCCGGTGCGTAAAATAATATTTATTTTTTCCGTCTTTCAGGAAACACTTACGATAGATCTATCGTGGTGGATGAAGAAGAGGCATCCATTTTGTTGTACGACATCTGGGAACAGGTGAGAGTTATACATTATTCATGCAGCACTTTTTTCCGTTTACATTGATTTTTGGATATTGCATTCGTAAAAGATTTGATTAGCCTTGTGTGATGCTAAATTTGGTGTCCGTTTCTCTCCTAAAGGATAACAGCCAGTGGCTAAAGGAACAGTGCATGAGAATGGGAGATGCCTACATTATCGTGTATTCAGTAACAGACAAATCCAGCTTTGAGAAGGCATCAGAGCTCCGTATTCAGCTGCGCCGAGCCAGACAGTCGGAGAACATTCCCATAATTCTCGTGGGCAACAAGAGTGACCTGGTGCGGTCCAGAGAGGTTTCTGTAGATGGTAAGTCTGTGTGATTAACTTATCATTGAGCCTAAAATGTGTGAGAGTCAGGCAAAGCATTTTTAAAATAAGTTTTAAAGCAATTCTGGAGGCCTTTCATGACAAACATCTGACAGATCTGTTTGAGATTCACTGACCTAATTGGGGTCAGGCCACATTTCTCAGTCAGCTGCTCAGGCTCAGACTGGGCCTGTATTTAAATACTTCTACAAAATAAAGCAATCTGCCAAAGTTAGGACTATAAGCTCTCCAGGGTTGCTTGCTCATTTTTTCAGCCTAAATCTACATTCCTGGGTGATTTTGATTGAAGGGTACATATCTTCAGAGCACTAATCTCCCTTTCTCCATGTTATCTTTCAGAAGGAAGCGCCTGCGCAGTGGTATTCGACTGCAAGTTCATAGAGACGTCTGCATCCCTTCACCACAACGTGCAGGACCTATTCGAGGGCATCGTCAGACAGATCCGCTTGAGGAAAGACAGCAAGGAGGAGAATGCGAGACGCATGGCCAACTGCAGGCGCAGAGAGAGCATCGGCAAGAAGGCCAAACGGTTCCTGGGCCGCATGGTCGCACGCAAGAACAAGAAGATGGCCTTTAGGCAGAAGTCGAAGTCCTGCCACGACCTAACGGTTCTCTGAGGACCAGAAGGGACAGAAAGGACTTTTTTTTCCTTTGGCCTCTAAAGACCAGATGCTGTGTGTGTTTTAACACTAACCCTAAAAGGACTAATAGAGTTGTACAGAAATATATATTTTTGTTTTTTAGACACCAATCAAGAGCAAAGAGAAGATGTAATTAATAAAATGACATTGTGCAAGTCATATCATGATAATGGTGATAATCTGCATGAAGCTTTGCAAACATTTATTTTATTTTATTTGATTGTCTGCCTTAAACATGTGGTCGTCATGATATGATCAGTATGTATGAACAATCCAAAATGGCTTGTTATTTTTCTAATGAGTTGCAAAGATTGCTTTGCTGTTGGGTTATTGTTGTGTACCTTTATTGGAAGGGATTTATGTACATACTATAACATGAATGATACTGAATGCAACATACATCTCATTATTCTGTACAACAAGGTAAAGGATCGCAATAATAGGTCATCTGGAGTCATATTTACTTGAAATGTGGTACGCAGGTTCGTGCCTTGGCCAGACCAGTTGGAGCTTAGAGAAAACTTCTGTTGTTCTATGTTGTTCCATAACATTGGATTAAGGTTGTGAATGTATGAGTAAAGCAATAAGTTATATTAGTCTTGTGAACCTCAACATTATTTTAACATTCTTTGTTTACGTTGATTTCCTTTTTTCAATAAAATACAAAATCAAATTATATGATCTTCTCTGTCATGATTCCTAAAGCAACGTGTTCAATGGGATGCAACAGAAAAGGAATAGCTGTCCATTTACATGCTCATCAATATTCATTTGATCCTATCAGTGGAATGGAACCTCACTGGCTATTGGTTTTAGAGGAAGGAAACAAGGTAGTTAAGCATGTTTATCTGGAGACGTTAACCATTAATCCACCGAAGGAGTACAAGTCTGCAATTTTTCCACCCAATTTAAACTCCGCTCACACCTCTCAGAGGACGCACACACATCATTTGGAGAAGGTAAGATGAGCTTTTTTCTGTTTTGTTTAAAATGGTAGTAGATGTTAATATTTTTGGTTTTTCAACTGATCCTCTACCTTTTTACTTCTTTATCATTGTCACCGTTTGCTTTTGTTGAGCTACAGTATATCCAGAGTGTGTTATTACACACTGAAGACTCAAACTTGAGTTAAAGACGTATACAGTGCCATTACTGTGACTCTGTGGTCTGGTTTTGCTACTCAGCTCTAAAAGATATTTGACAAGCATCTAGACTACACTGTCATATTCTTTGCATGTAATATAATTTCAAGAAGCATTTTTGCTTCCAAATCAAATGTGTTTTTCTTTGTCTTCTGTGCCGCTGACTACAGCTTGGGCTCAGATGTTGCTTTAAAACAGCTTTGTAGATGGTTATGCGTGTGAATGCAGTTGCCGTCCGACATGTAAAAATGGTGAAATCTGTGTGTATGAAAGAATTCCATGGTGGTGAATCAGTAACAAGACAGAAATTGTGTTGGTTTGAAAAGCTGTGAATGTGCCGCATTTGTAGGGACACATGGCTGACAGAGGAGCAACACCAATGCTCATCAAAGCTCTCATAGTAAGAGTTTTTTTGTTACTCTTAACTCTCACACTTTTTTTCATGCAGCAAAAGAAATCACTGCATGATCAGTTAGTATCACTAAGACATGCTCAATTTCTTGTTTCGCAGTTGGCAGTGCTTTACACATTTGCACCGTGCTCTGGAGCAAATGTTAAAATCGGTGTCCCAGAAAACTATGACGGTATTTTCCCATGGTATCTAGCCAAGGTAAGGCACTTTAGCTTACTTGAAATCACCAAATAAATGTGTTTTTGTTGTTATTGTTGTGCTCATAGCAGTCCTCTGTGGAATAATTCTTCGATTTGAACCTGTTTTTCAAATGTAACCATGGGTGTTCGAGCAAGGAGGGAATCCACATAGATACACAATGTTATATAGAAGATTTAATTCTAGAATTTGAGCAGCATGTTGACAATAATTCTTGATCTGGATGCTGTACTAAAATCAATAACTGTTAAAAATGTCTAAAATTCTGCTCATGAGACCAATCTTTCAGTAATAGTTTAGATGCAAAACCCACAGAAGCATCCTCACAAGTAAATCACAAAATCTCCTCAAGGTTAGAAATAAAAAAATCTTCTGGTGGCTATTTGAGTGTGCTGACCATTTAGGAATATTGCGAAAAGGCCATCGTTGCTCTATTATAGACAGAAAACAGAGGTAGACAGCAGAAGAAAACCTTATCAGCCTCTTTTTTTTTCTTCTTTTCAATTTTCCGCACTCAAGGTTGAAGATGTATGAATGTGCTGTCGTCAACACTGCACTATAATTGGCACGCTCACAACGAGTCTCAAACGTCAGACCCTCATCCTCTGCATTTAGTCCAGCTGGGTGGCAGGTGGGGCGTTTTGTTTGTATGTGCCACTCAGACGTTCTCTGGATTGTGCAACAGCATCTTCTATCTGGCACTTTAAGTATGATGTCATCACATCTCGCATGAAGCAAGTCTCTGTGTCGCAGCGAGCGTAATTAACCGCTGACTCACTCAAAGATAGCATGTTAATAGTCAGAATGGAGGATAATGACCCCACTTTATGTTATAAAAAGGAATGGGCATGATAATTGCTTTAGATTTTTTTATTCAAGGTAAACCCTCTTCCCTTAATATATTGAATGAATAATTTTGCAAACCTTACAAAAAATAAAAGCATACCAAATGTTTATTTATTTATTTTTTTAAATCATTTTGTAGGCCACTGTGAATTGTGAATAAGCTGTCCCAATATGCTACTGGCTCTAAATGTAGACAATTGGATCCTGAGATATTAATTTGCTTCAAGAGGATCTTCATTTAGGAAATTCAAAGCATCTAAACTGTGTGTCCACTCATTCAGGCTGAACGCTCCTGCAAAATATTAGAGAGTTACATGATTATTTAAACAATAACTTGGCCTTCAGGCAAATTTATTGGCAGCATGCTGGGAAAGAGAAAATTAAAGGATAAAGTGGGTTTTGCTTTACATTTTCTTATTGTTTAAATATCTTAAAAGGACTAAAACCAATTGTGTGTTGGTCATTGTTTACCCAACCTTGTCTTAGCCCATTTTTCCCCACTGATCTAAAACACCTTTAAAATTTGCTCAAAACCTTATAGTTTGATCTACAAATGGTTCACTAATTTCCTAAAACAATAATGTGTAGTTTCAAGCAAATCTCATTATTGTCTCATATTTGTAACAAAGCTAGCAACTTAAAACACAGCCTTGGATTTCAGTCCATATGCTTAAAGAAGAATAGGAGTTTTTTGATGAAGAATTCACCTTCAGAATTGTTGATCTGTCACCAAAAACATGGCTCAACAAGACTCATCAGTGAACAAAATAATTCATGAATGCAGCCTGGTAATCATCCAGCTCACGCTCAGATCAGCCATGATACAGGCAACACTGACCGCAGACAGGCAAACTGACCAGACCTGTGCACATACTAGAGATGCGCCGATCCGATACTGGGTATCGGTATCGGTCCGATACTGGACGAAATTACGGTATCGGATGATTTACTTCACAGTGGTAACTGGCCGATCCGATACCGCCACACACACACAATCCTGCCTTCCGACACATCCACGTGTTCGTCTGCTCATTGGCTACAAGTGTACAGCGTCAGAGAGTGTCTGCAACCCGACTGGTCGAATCTACAAGGGTGGAACTTGTACGTACCGGGTTGACTGTCTGAGACACTCCATTGGCTCTTCAGGCTGTCACTCACCCCCAAAGCCCTCCTATTGGCCAAACTAGGTGTCAATCAAAAGCTGAGCCGTCTAGCCGCCTGTAGCGCTTTCAGTGCGATCTAAAATAGATTCAGACTGATTTTACCAGAAGAAATGAATAAAACAGCCGGAGCTGATCTCAAGCTGGGAAGACATTACTGCAGAATTTGTGCCTTTGAGGATCTAATACGTTTTACGGACCGAATTATTTTACTGGATTATGCTCGCTGGTTGTGTCCGGACAGAATGAGACCAAGCTGGTGAGGAATGAGCGATGTTTGAGCTGCAGAGAGCCTTCAAAAGTAAGAAAACTCTGATTTTAACATTTTGCTTTTCTGTACAAAAAGCTCTTTGTGTCAACGCTGTGGTTGCTGCAGGTCAAAAAGGTTTATATCATCGGAAAGAGGAGACTCTAAGCTTTCATTTGATGTGTATGTTGTCGGGAAACGTGATTGTGGAGCATGCGCACATCTGGCTGTAACGTTTTTGGAAAGTGGTCCCGTCGGCGGGACGCGGGACCGGTAAGGGGTTAAAAACACTCTTCTTAAATTTTTATTTTTTTTAAAAAATGGAAAAAAAATTTGAAGGAAAACAACCCTTAAAAACAACGCCCCCAACCCAAACAAAAACCCGGCAACCAAACCGCCCGAAAAAAACAAGCCAACCCTCTCCGTGCAGCCCTCTACCAGCAGCCTGTACGGGGCTCTCCGGCTCTGCAGACAGACTCTTCCTATTGGATCCGATCCTGCAGCAGGTCACAACGTTTCCGGCCTCATTTACTACTGCTCATGCGCAGAGCCCAGAGCGGCTATTAGTGGTACTATTATTTAATAGCAAGTTTTGGTAATTTATCCTTTAAATTGCAGCTTAATGTTGCTGTGTCATTGTGATCTGTTCTAAATATTTGAATGGCACTGAGTGCACACTGTAGTCTAATTGCAGCTCAAATAAAGCAGCTACAGTTTCACTTTGAGACATGCTTTTGGCTATTTTTTCCTTTCTTAGAAAAGCAAAGTCTATGCTTTAATAGTATGAGGCTTTTGATAAAGCCATCTTAAACAAATGTATCCATGCACATAAGGTATTTCCAAAGAAGTTTAGGAGGAGAGATGGTATCGATATTGGTATCGGCAGATACTCAAAGTTGAAGTATCGGTATCGGTATCGGAAATCAAAAAGAGGTATCAGTCCATCCCTAGCACATACATTAAACTTACCTGAAAAAGGACATCACTTTTTTCAGCCTTAGTACTTTCTCTGATTAGTCTTTCTAGTGTTAGAAATGTTGATGGTTGTATATCAGTTCTTTGTTCCTTGTCATTTTGTTGCTTCTGAAGAAGCTCAGGTCCCCCATTTGAGCTCAACTAGTGTGAGTAATGTGTTGTTGTAACAGACTTTCATTGTAACTAAACACGTAACTTGTTTTACCAGAGAAATGCAAAATCAGCTGAGTATCACAAAAGTAAAATGGAAAAATGGGGGAAAATAAACTTTCTTGAAAGTCTAATTTGTGGCAAATGTGAATAAAAATAATGTGATTCTCAGCTTCCAGGCAGCTTGTGTTTTCAATGTGCTTCATGTACTGTAATTACTTGAAGACTCCCTGTGGTGAAAACCGATCTGTATCATTGTTCTTCTTCAGAATTGGTTTCTGGTTTAAACAAGTATTGCCAAATTTCTCCAGTATCGCAACTTGCCATTGTGTATCATAGAATAGTTTTACACAAATTCGTTGATGAGCTGGTGTGCTTGAGCTGCACAAGTAGTGGAGGGGTGAACAGAGAGAGAAGCAGGGACTTCATAGATCTGCACATTCTAGAGGAAGCAGTTGTGTAGAGTTATATCTAAGTAATTTTAAAGTGGGAAAAATTTATCAATATGCAATTTTGACACACAGAGGTGAGTTTTTGGGGTTTAATCAATGACTGGAGAGAGACTTTAATATTTTAAATGTTACTTTTCTTAAGTTTCAATTGGCCTTCCAGTCCAGTGCAGCTTCAAATCAAATCACCAGCAGCTGTGATGACTTCCCTTCTATTGCCACATTTGTTCAGGTCTCCGACACTTCGTCGCTTGTGTGTATCGCCTGCTGCGGGAACACAAACTGATGTTTCAAGAATTGTTTTGTTCTGTTCTGTACAGCTCCACAGCCTGCCAGTGAATTACAGTGACCTGGTGGTGACAGGAGATGATGAGGGGATATTTGGAGTTGATGCTCAGTTTCTGTACGCTCTAAAACCACTGGACAGAGAGAAACAGCCGTCTTACTCTCTGCAGGTAGCACATTTCATCCTGTCATATCATCAAACGTCTCTTAAATGTCTTATGTAATGAAGAGTTGCCATGAATGTATTCATTCAAGACGCATCAATCTCACAGAGCACAGTGCATTCCTTTATACTTGTTCATCATATGAAGGGCCACGTGTAGAAAGAATTAATCCCTCTTAAGATTGTTCTTAGATTCTCATGGGAGGACTGAATGCCAATTCCAGCATGGACACTCAGGATATGTTTGTCTGCAGGTGTCCTTCAGAACATCAGTGCATCGTCAGAGCTTCACTGTGGAAGTCTGTGTCATCGACAAGAATGACAATGTGCCTGTTTTCATAGAGGAGAGCATGAGAGGCAGCGTGCAGCTTGGGCTTCTCAAAGGTACAAAAACCTTGGAATTACACAACCTGATTTAGTCTGGGCCATGTTTTTCATTCCTGATATATGCGATACTATAATTTTTCCTCAACAGTGGAAAACATGCCTATAACATATCACTGGAAACTGCTTACCTTAAACCTATCGACAGAATTAATGGCGTAGCACACTGACTCAGTTAAATTTTGATTACTGTAAAAAATGCTTTTCTGCAAACTGTCTTAAGGCTCAGCACTGACCTTGATTCAGCCACAATAGCCCTTTTAAATCTACTATGCATGTGATTTTGTGAGGCAAAATATCAGCTGGCTCTAAAATACTAAACAATACTGTACTGCTTGCATCATGTCTTTAAGGAAAATCACGATGAACCATCAGCTTTTGGTGGTATCTTATTTTCTTTTTATTCTGAATTTCCCACAAGGATCCCTTCACTGAAAATCAGATTTTCATGATGAGGCATCAAATGAGGCATTTTCAAGCTGGATCTTCTTTTAACTTTTTCAAATGTTTTACCAGCTTAGTGGCACAACCTACATTCCATTCTTTATTGTATGAATCCAGAGGTTAAAAACTTTGTCAGACAGTTATGGATAAAAAGGGAGAGATTTCTGTAATACCTTTAATTCCACTATTTGTCTCTGCATCTTTTAGGAATCCCATTCATGCAGGTGGAGGCTCTAGATCGTGATGACCGCAACACTGCCCACGCTGAGCTGCGGTTCAGCCTGATGGAACAGACGCCCAGGATTCCCTCCAGTCAAATGTTCTTCATCGAGTCCATTACCGGAGAAGTTTCCCTCACTGAGGAAGGTCAGTCCCAACCAGTGGCTGAAGGGAAACAATCAAGATCATGGGAAGTTCTACATACATGTTTTGTTTTTTCTCCAGGAGGTCAGAATGCAGGGTTACCTTGAGTTGCACTTGTAATACAACAATATGATTACTTATTTTCATATGTCCCACAAGTTTTCATTTACATTGCCCATTAACATATGTTGGCTCATAAGTAACAAGAAACTGGTGTAAAGAAGTGTTTGAGACATGTTTTTTTTTTTTTTTTTTCCCATCCCTTCAGACCTTAAGTATTTGGACAGATATACCTTTTTTGTTTTTCAGGCTCAGTGCTTCAGTACATTTAATATGAAATAAAAAATAATGAATGTTTTGTTAGTGCCAAGACTCTAACCCAACATTTAAGGGTTCAGAGGTTACTGGACAGATACATACAAAGTCAAACAAAATCCATCCATCCATTATATATACACTGCTTAATTCTCACTTAGGACAGGGCTTAGGACAAACAGGGGCTGGAGCCAATCCCAGCCGACTTAGGGCGAAGGCAGGGGACACCCTGGACAGGTCACCAGTCTATCACAGGGCTGAACAACCAAGACAGACAACCAAGCACACTCATATTCATACCGATGGACAATTTAGAATCACCAACTAGCCTTAACATGTTTTTGGACTGTGTGGGAGGAAGCTGGAGAACCTGGTGAGAACCCTGCACAGGGAGAACATGTAAACTCTACGCAGAAAGATCCCAGCCGTCTTCTAGCTGTGAGGCGACAGTGCTAACCACCGAGCCACCAATCAATACTTAGCTTTTTGTGGAAAATTCTTTGCAGCTGATTACTGCCTGCTGTTTTGTATCTTTCCCTCTGATGCTCTCTCAGGTCTCCGCTGCAACACCTCTCAGCTTTAACTTGATGTGGGATCTCTCTGCCTTTACTCTGGTTCTACTAAAGCTCAATCAGATTTCCATCAGGATGACTAACTTTGCCAGTCGAGAATATTTCACATCGTTACCCTGAAAAGCTTTTCGCTTGTTTAGGATTATTGTCCTTCTGAGTAATGAAATGTTTTCCAATAAATTCTAATACATTTTTGCTGAATCTGAGCATACAGAAAGCCCCTGTGTCTCATTGCATTTATGCTTTTCAGTCAGTAGTGAAGTCAGTTCCACTGGTGACCATAGCTCCTCAAGAAATACTAAAAGCAAAACGGGTTTGACAAATGAGGTGCTATAATCTGGGTTATAAGCTTTTTGTTTTAGCATCTTGTGGTGATTCCTGTGAGGTTAAAGTGATGAAGTCCTCTCTTGATCACTGACAAGGAATCATGTTGACCTACTTTCCTGAGAGCATCCTTGACTTACTGTGGGGTCATAAAATGCCTTTTTCTTCACCAAATTGTTTTATAGTTGTCTACAAGACTTCTTGGTCTGACACATTTTTAGTCATCTTTTTGTTTTCCTCTGCATTTCTACTTTTTAGAATATATTTAAATATTGATTTTGGCAAAGTTATTATATTTGCTAAGTTTCTTTCTTGTATTTTTGAGCCTCATCATTATTTTCTTCACTTGTATATTTTAATCTAAATGGTAAACTTCAGTTAACTCTCAGACATGTCAAAGAGCCCACTCTTTTTCAGCATTAAAGTGTTGAGCAGGCTAGTGTCCAATTACTTTTGCAGACATGCAGTTGGGTCACTGTGTCCAAGAAAGGCTATGTTGTGGAATAATATGGAATAAAATACAAATAATGTAGGTTTAATTATGTAGATGTGCTGCAAAATTGCTGTAATTGTGACACTTTTTTTGAGCCAACAGACACACACATACACACACGCAGTAAATTCCTGTGTGCTGCTGCTATTTCCGTAGCTCTGGTATTGCCCTTTGTTAAGGTTTGGCAGGAGATGATGACTTTCACACTTGCTGGTCTCCTCCGACCCACACTGCTGCTGATTTCCACATGACAAGTAGCAGTGAAAATTGCCTCTTTGATTTTCTACCTTATCCTCAGGCTGGCTGTAAGTGATGAATATGATTGCCTTTATAGTGGGTGTAATTTGTCCTCCTTTTAAGCAAGGAATTGCAATTTCAACTCAGATGGCTAAGAAAAGTTCGAACCGGTGAAATTTAGTATTTGATGTGTGTAATATCTCATTTAAATAGAAAAGTATAATCATCAAATTTTTTGTGGTTTCATATTTTTATGTTGGCTTACATCATTTCCCTTTTTTGTGTGTTTCTCTGAAGTGATTATGTTCCTTTGCAGCACTTGTTTCTCTTACATTTATTGCATATATGCAGTGTCATGTCATCAAACATGCCACAACATACTTTTTTACTTTAGATGTCTTTGTGAGAGAGATTAATTCTGAAATAAAATGGCAAACTATTTCTAAAATCTAGTATTCTGTGACCTCCAGGAGCCTCTACTTTGGATCCGGAGATGTGCGGCCGTTACAAACTGGCAGTGATGGTGAAGGACATGGCCGGGAAGGCAAACGCTTTCTTCACCACCGGCATTGTAACTGTTGAAGTGACTGGAAACACGTGGGCATCACCCGACCCTGTGAGACTCCAGGAGAATCTCCCTGGCCCTTATCCTATCCCCATCTCACAGGTGAGGCAGAAAAGCACGGATCAACATGTATTTACTGTGCGATCTTACAATAAAAGTGTGTTTACATAAATCATGAAAACAACTTAATAAAAGAGCAAACATTAATCTTAATGCAGTTCCAGCTACGATATCATGTTACAATAAAACAAACAACGTCGATATTCTGGACTGAGTTAAGTGGCATCACATTGCTAGTTGCTGTTTTTAGAGCCTCTCAGGACCTCCTAAGTGACCAAATACTAAATTATTGATGCTGTTCAAATGCCATGGATCCTTTCAGGCTACCTCCTGACTGAGTCACTTTAACTCACTCACTCACTCCCTCCCTCTCCCACCCACTCTGGGGGGTGCTATACAAATCTTACGATTTAAAGGGAAAATCCACACTAAAATACAAACGGAGTGGGCAACCCAGTGAGGAAGTTGTTAGGGAGAAGAGCACATGAGGACACAGTCAGCAGTGAATCCCCAGTTTGTCTTCCGGCCATTTCTCTGCTCTCCTTGTTTCACATTCCCAGTCTGTGTGTGCTGCAACTATCAAATAAAATGTCAAAATGCACAATTTAAAAATTCATATGGAGTGCTTCATAGTAGATCACCATAGAAATAAATACCTCAGTAGAAAATTGTTCTTGTGTATGTATTTTTTGGCACACTTTCCTACTGAATATCTCAACTATATTGTTGCTTTAAACTCTGCTTTGGCAGTTTGTATTAATTAATCAACAACAAAAACTTAACCAGAACTCCAGAGTTTTACTTTGAGCTACTTGCACAAAATACAGCATCTGAATACATCATCTTGAACTGTGAGGAACTATGATGAGTGCTATACAACATTTCATAGGCCAAATTAATTATTTGTTGATTAAATAAATCTATCTATCAGATTTGTTACTGATTAAGACCAATTATGCATGCTTGTTTTATTTTATTAATTTATTTTTTTTTTAATGAAAATGGTAATAGAGCACCCTCAAGTAAGTTACAGCACTACCCTGATGATTTTATAATGTTATTTTAGGATTTTATGCTCTAAAGGCTGGAAATCCTTGTTTAAATAAAAGTCTGGATGTTTTTCAAAGACTCAGTTCCTGTTTCATTGAGGACTAGCTCAAATAAGAGTCACTTGATGGTATCTGATCATCAGTAGAATAGAATACTTCTTTATTGTCATGTGGAGGCAATGTTAAAAAGACGGTGTTACAGAAGTGAAATATTGTTGTAGCATTCTCTGTGGCAGCAATACACAAGAAAAAAGAAATGACGTGAACGGAAAAATATATATATATATATAAAGTATAAAATATTAAAGCAAAGACTGTAAAGAAAAGGAGGTACTTACAGCAAAGACTACAGTATTTACAGCAGACGGTATTTACAGCAGCGTGAACGGCATGTGCATGTGCAACACTATAAGTAAAATACTATTTTCCTGCATAATTGCTGTACTTTCATTCAGATTCTTGAAAAATATCACTGGATTTGTGTCTGTCCCTGGACTTGTCTAACCTTTAGCTCATTATAATAGTAGCCATATCAGCTACATGTCTATAAATAACTCAAAACCCCCTCAGAGGTTTTGTAACATGGAAAAAATCAGCCCTCTGGCAGTGGCAGTTATTCTTTTTCAAATCTACGCCTGCAAAAAAGAAATAGATATTTTTTTCCATTCACTGCTGAGGAAACAAATAGGACTGTAGAGCTGATTCTGATGCTGAATTGAATGTGCTGTGCAGAGTCTGAGAGTCGCTGTAGCCACTAGATACATCACAGTACCTCCCCTTGTTTTCTCCCACCTCCCCCTCACTCACCCTCAGCCTCTCATCTCTCCTGTTCTAACATCCCCCTCCACCCACTGAAAACGTGTGGAGTGTAGGCACATTTGATTTTTTTTCATTTCTTAATGACATATTTTCAAAGGCCAGTCTCCAATAAAGTCTGCCTTTTTGTCTTGTAGGTTTAATAACAAAAACAAATGCTATAATATGATATTACACACAGTTTGGTGACTTTTAAAGGAGAACTTGTTTTCATTATTTAATATATAAAAAGAGCATCTGTGTCTCTCTATGTAAATGAGACTGTCTAATATTTCAATGGGCAGATTCCATCTGTGTATTTATTTTAATTCCTAATGAAAAATGTGTCAAGAGAGCAAGCAATGAAGCCTCTTTTGTGCCATTACTGGAACATCTACGTGAAAACCATTTAGTTACATTGTCTAATTTGTCTGTCCTCCCAAGTCTAAATCACACAAAATTGGATTAGGTTAACACGGTGTTTACTTGGGGGAAGCCTCATTTCGCCCACGTGGAGTGATCATTCTGCTGCGCTCAGTAGGTGGTGGGACTAACCGCTGTTATGACACATACTGAGATAGTCGTGTTCAACAACCCACTCTGTGGATCCCACCTCCCCTACTGTCTCAGATAGATGGAGCAGTCAGGTCCACATCCACTCAGCTGTGTTTTTTATGTCCTGACATTATCCACCGTGTGACAAATGCTGAAATCCCTGTGCAGCTTAGCATACTTTATGCATTTCTGCTGCAATCAGTCTCTATATAAACGTCCGTTATGAAAGTGAACTGAGATTGCTGTTGTGATCAATTTTCCCTGATTCTGCAATCAGATCGAATCAAGCTCTGGCTGTAAATTTAAATCCAAACATTTGCTATCAGTACTTCTGCATCACAGGAGCAGTGGAGGTTAATTTCAAACTGTTATCTATTGCATTTTTTTCTGATTGCCTAAAACTTTGATTATGCAATGCAATCAGTACAACTACGTGAACTCAGTAATGCAATCTATTGCGACTCGGAGTGGGAGAAAGGCCTGAACGAATGAGTCAAAGCTCTTAACTGCATTGAACAGTCAGTGTTCACAGTCGGATGAAATCTGATTATCTGTGGTGGAATTAGTTTGAGCCTTGCTAGACCTTCGTCACAGCCTCATAATCAGTTTTCAATATTACAAATGACACTTGTACAACGTGGTGCTTCAGCAAACGTTAGTCATTGAAGGTGATCTCATGGTGTGAACGGCAACAATAGTAAAGCTTCAAATTAATATTTGATATGTCACCAAATTGTACGTTTTATGAAATGACTCACTTTTTGTGACAAACGCGCTGAAAACCATCCCCTGACTCTGCAGTTGTCCTCATCTTTACCGAGAAACTTTTAATTTGTTTCAGCACCAAATATCAAAATTACCTTCTAACTGGTGAACAAAGAGTAGAATACTGAAACCAAACAAAGCATCGAAAGGGAACAATAACATTGTGGCAACCTCAGATTTTGAAGACCATCGTGTCCTTGTTGTGTTTACAGCTTGATTCCATACAGTCCAAAAAAACAGGTATTACATGTTTAGTGCTCTGAAACTCAAACAAGACAACTCTGACCTTGTTTGTGTCGCTCTAAAAGTTTTAATATTTTGCCTTCCATCAGATAACACACTGAAATAATTCCGTCTCTTGCTAAAGTTAACATCAGTAGCTTTGTTACAGATAATCTTACAATCCATGGTGTCACTATCCGTCTATAATATCACTGTATATTTTAAAGGACTGCAGTTATGATTGTTACTGATTACCATTTTCATTATATTTTTTCTGTTATTCATTATTTATGATTATTACTGATCAAACTCTAGAATTGTTTCCAAATCTGTTAACTGTTATTTTAAATGAAATGTCCGTTCCTTGTTTTTTCCAAAACCAAAAGTTACCGTTCTTACTGACAATGAAAAGTGAAGCAAGTTTTTGCTTGACAATGGAGTAAAGCAGTTAAGCGGATATCCTATAACTTCCGGCACCGCGCTGAGTGGCAGTACGGTACAGCAGCTCACGTCTTTTATTCTTTTTTGTACTTGTTTTTTTCAGTAATTTCCCAGACTGGGATAAATAAAGTATTTTTCTGTTCTATTCTATATCAAAACAGTGACTGACTAATTTAATTAAACAGACTAACAGATTAAGTGACTCTGGTATTTTAGCATTTCCAGATTTTGTGGTTTAATGCAGAATGTTGTGCTAATTTCTGTAATTCAGCAACTCTGCAGACTAAAGTGCCACCTGGAGAAACACAAAAACAAGATATCAGGGGAGACGGAGCGCACTCTGCCAACGCTGACAAAGGCAAAACAGATGATTTCATCAATGTTTTGTATATAGCCTGACTTTGTATAAAACAGTCAGCGATCATTAATCATATTTCTTCAAAGCTCTAAGGTCTAGAAACACTCCAGAAACATTAAGAGGCAGCCAGCTGTGTGAAGTAACTCTGTGTATACAAGAGTGCCGTGTTTGAGCAGCTATATCCAAAGAAAGGGAGGAGTGTGTGACAGTGAATTGAAGAGATACACATGCCCTGAGTGTGCATCAGCTGTGCTGGGACTGGGCTCCTGTCCTTGTTGGGTGCTGTTTGATGGCCCTTTCAGCCCCTCTGCACAGCCGTCTGTCGAGGGTTGTAAAGCAGAGTGGAAAATCCCCTTCAGCCTGCACAGTTAGTTTTGGCTGTGCTCACTGTTCCCCATCATTGTCAGTGCATTTGGTTGGCTCCTTATCATGTAAACAAATGGTAGCTTCGCTTTGTACTTTTACATCGTGTATGCTTTGCTGCAAAGCTCTCCTGCAACCAGATTTGTGGAAAAAAGCCCTTTACAATCATTTCATAAGTTTAATTCTTGCACTTAGATATGAAGAATTTTTCATTAATATGCATGTTTGTGAATGTGTGTGTGTGTTAATATAGGTCAAATGGAGTGGGAGTCAGGCAGAATATAGTCTGGAGGGGGAGTTTCCAGAGATGCTCTTCACCATCAGCAGAGAAGGAGTAATTTATCTCAATGCCCCACTGGACAGAGAGACACAAGACCAGGTCTGTACTGTAGCTGCAAACTGCAGCACCTTATGATGAATGCCAGCTCACTATTACTGTTTAAGGATGTAAGTGCTGCACTTTTTTTTATAGGAAAGACTGAAACCCTTATTTCTTACTCTTGAAGTCTGTTATAGTGTGTTTCTTTCACATGTGATATTAATTCTTTGTATTTAAACCAACAATATCAAATGTGATTTAGTGCATTTTGTTCTCAAGTACTTTCAGTAGCTGATGAGTGGCAGCAAGATTGTGAACTCAAATTGAAAGAATGTCATCAAGTGACAGATTTGACGGCACTGAATAAGTTCTCATGTTGTTTGTGAAAGCTGAGGTATTTTTTCATCATAACCTTTCAGCATACTGCACACCAGAATTTAAGAGGTTTGAGCGAAAACTAGACCTCCCCATGTCCTCTTGGCTACGTTTTTTTTAAACAAGTGAGATTGTACAAACAAGTGCAACAATTTTCACAATAGAAGTAGGATGTGGCGGTTGAAGTGAGGTTTGAGTCCTGTTTGAGGCCAACTGTAAAGGTTGACTGGACTATGTCAATGCTTCCTGACTTAGGACAGACAGGGGAAAGATGCAGGTGAAGGGCTGTAAATTCAAATTATGGTGTCTCTTTTTTTTTTCCTTTCCAGATTTCTGCCTGAGATAACTTTTAAAGAAAACCTCTATTTTAATTAACTTTTACTCACAGCTTAATGGTCTGTTAATTGAAGGGACCCTGATACACATTACTGCAACAAAGCTGAGCACTGAGCTCATTCTATTTTTAAACTGAAAAAAGATAATTAAGGATGCAACCCACAACCTGAAAAGCACATCTCTGCTGCTTAAACATATCGTGCCTGTGGCAAAGGATTATTGAAATATGACATAGATTGTAAAGATAAAGTCTTGATTTTAAATGTTGCTCGCTTTAGATGGAAGGGAGGATTGTTATTTCGGGTAAGATTACAAGTTTAAGTCCATTTGTTTACGTTTCACTTGCGCGTGACTTAAGCTCCTGAGAGCTTTGAATGGCTCGGTGAACAGTACATTCTGGCACAAATGCTCGAGTGGCTGAAGAATAACACAGATAGACTGAGCTACAACAGTGCACTTTCTGTCTCCTGCGATGACCATTTAATAAAGATTGGAAATGCTTCATCAGCCTGTTGCCTTATGGGTTCTGTTTAATCTGTAGATGATAGCGCTGCAAAGCCAGATACTCCAACTTCACCATCAGGTATTGAAATGTATTAGTATTTTTTAAAAGACACACGAATTAAGGTGTGAATGAAGTGTGTATTGAGTCAAAAAGGGAAAAATGGAGCAAACATAAGGATTGTGCATTTTTCGCACAAATCATCATGAGCCTTCTGCTTGACTCTTTTTTTTAAAATTAAATAATAAACTGTGGATATTTTAAATAGTAGCATTTTAGATTGTCATAACAAGCACTTTTTTTCTTTTTTTTAAAAAATGCCTGTTGACCCACTTCTATCAAATCTTTTGAGGTGATTGTTGCTTGACAGTCTCTCAGGAACAATGAAAAATTAACCTAAAATTCTCACTGTTATTTCTCATAACTTGATCTACTTGCAGTAAGTTGCAGTTTATTGATCAATTCCATGATGAGAAATATCAGTGAAAATTTCAGGCTTTTATCTTTAATTGAAATATTGTTGTTCAAACATAGCCTCAAATTTCAATGTGTGAGAAAATGTGCAAAAAGTAGGTTGGCAGTTATTTCTTTTTAAAAAGTGATATGTCAGTTTTGTGATATATCAAGCAAAAATATAACAATTGTCTATAAATATCCATATTTTATGCTACTAAAAGTTCAGGCAAATCAGCGATGGTCGAGTAGTATTGTTCTAAAAATTTTGCTGATTTGCGATGGCATGACACCACTGCTAGTGATGGAAAAATTGCAGATGTATCTGAAACGATATTCCAGAAATTAGCAATAATTTGTGGTTTGTTAACAACCACTAAATTCTAGAAGAATCCTGTCTGAATACAACTCATTTAGTCTGTGATGGTGCAGATGGAGCTGTTTCACAGCTTTGTGCTTCAGCGTAGAGATACCCATCCATCCATCCATCCATCCATCCATCCATCCATCCATCCATCCATCCATCCATCCATCCATCCACTTTGCACTCATTACCAGTCTACAGGGCCAATTTTTCTGTTTAATTACCTACTCTAATATGAGTAGGAGTGTAGTTGACATGAATGTGATGCTCTACCTGATCTGAGGTCACAATGAAAATGTACCACACCTGCCTAACCAGATATTCTCCACTTGCTTTTTTTGTTATTGTGTCTTCATTTTTTCTCTTGACAAATACTATGTTTCATGTTTTTCTTTGTCAGTTCCAAATCAGCATCGTGGTTGAGCGTCCAGATGGCAGAGAGATTGCCAAGTCTGTGGAGCTGCGGGTGATGGTGGGTGACGCCAATGACAACAGACCCACCTTCCCTCAGGCACAGTACCACACTGTGGTGAAGGAACTGGCTGCTCGAGGTAACTGACAGCTTTTATTTACTTTAGCAGTCTCCAAAAAAAAAAAAAAAGACTTTTTTCCCCCCCTCATATGTTGATATGAATCTCACTTTTTCTACTCCAACATGTGTTCACAAATACTGTCCAAAACTGCTCTGATTAATCAGTCTGCAGGAGGATATTTAATTAAGCTATTCAAGCTAAAATAGAAGCAGAACTTACATTTTATTGTGTCAGTTATATTATTTTCATGTAAAAAAAGATGAAAAATATAATTACTCATTAGGTTTGAGATTAGCATAGGCAACATAATGTATCTTAATCTTTTGCCAATTTGACTCTATAATGGGAATATTGTTTTACAACACAGTGGAGTAAACTAAAGTCTGAAAGTGATGTTGGAGTAATGAAAGGGCTGATGTTGCTGTATACCTTTTGTTAAAGCACTCTGGGATTTTTGCCAGGACACAGGAAAAGCACCCTCACTCCTAGCCGTGCTCATAAAAAGCACACAGTGTGTTGTGACATATCAGGTCCTGACATAAAAGCTTTCTGTGTTGATGCTTGAAAGCGTTTTGATTCTGGGAAAGAATTAGACAGGACAATCTGTTAATCTAAATGGAATCACTGAGTGAGGATTAAATGGGAAAGCTATTGTTATATCCTTCCTCACCCCCCTTCTCCATCATTCTCATTGCTATGTGACGGTAAGTTATCACAGACAGAAAAACAATTTGGGTTACTTGCCTGTTTTACAGAAAGCTGCCTCAAGTGTTAGATTGCATTTTAACCATTAAGAATATTTGAAGTTCTGCGACAAGAAAACCAAAAATAATAGAAAAAATTATAGTATTAAAACTTTTTTTGTCAAAATTGTATCTGAAAAGGGTGCCTTTCATGGGGTTTGCGTTCACTCTTCTGTGTCGTCGCATCTTTCCCCAGGGACAGAAATTTTGACAGTGCAGGCGGCTGACAATGACGATCCCAAGACCGACAACGTGCGGATCTTCTACCGATTAATTGGACAGATCCCAGAGAGTCCTCGTGCCCTCTTCAGAGTGGACCGCGACTCAGGGGTCATCTCCGTCCAAGCAGACAGCATGGAGGGCACGGCACCACAGTACACCCTGACCATCACTGCTGAAGATGCCAAAGGTGACTTTATAGTGAAACAAACATGCAACTCATAAATAAAGTCACAGATCACTGCATATCTCTGCATTGTATCCTTTGAAACTTGCAAGTTGTAGAAAGGAAATTATAGGTATAAATTGAGGGTAGATGCGGAAAAGAAAGCACTGATCATAGCTATTATAAAGTGGTTACTGTGCCAAGGATTAACACAACGTATATAGATGTAACACTGCAGCCTTCATAATGACACACCTACATTAGCTTTGTGAGTTAGTGCGTCAGAAGCTTGGTTAGTGCGTTAACGTCCAGGGGATGTGTATAGGCTCTGGGATGACAGATGATGTGGTCTGCATGACTCATGGACTGGGGGCATGATGGAAGCAAGATTAGATACTTGCTTCTTCCTTCAGCATATTTTATTTGTGTGAAGGCCTGACCCTGAGTCACTAACAGAAGCTGTGATGATGTCCCTGGCAGGTCTGAACAGTTCATGCACCGTGGTTGTGACAGTGCAAGATGAGAACAACAACCCGCCTGTCTTCTCCCAGCACGAGGTACGAGAGCACATGTCCAAACAGGCACACATGCGAAAAAAGGGATGAAGACGCATTTCTGATGCATCGACCTGCTCAGAGTATGAGAAGCAATACCTTCTGGAAGAAAAAAAAAAAACTAAAAAAACGTAAAGGCAGGTCAAACATTGCAGGCCGTAATAAGTGGCTGTTGGAGTGTAGACTGTGAATACGCTCTGCAGGTCACTGATCTAATTTTCCTGGCGGGGAACGAGATATGGCCACTAATCTCAGGCTTATAGTGACGGCACCATGTTATTGGAGGAGTTTTACTCAGTTCTTTGTACTCTAAGTGGACAGTGTTTCAGAGTTTAATCTGATAAAGCTTTCTTTGGAGACAAGTTTCCATTCATTTATTTATAGCCAAATCCACGTCACGACTACAGAGGGCTATCCAGAACCCTTAATGTGTTAAAAATTATATAAGAATCAGTTTTGTCTGAGCCATTACGGTCTCTCTGCAATTTCTGTATCAACTAATTCTTTATTTCAGCAGCTTATGGTGATGAATCCTCTCCTTGTTTGCTGACATCTCTGTAGTTTTAGCTTTCTTAAAAATAATTTTTTGCTTTCATTTTCCATTGCATACTCATTTCAATTTCATTTGCACGGAAATATCTTCAGGAGCTTCCTCCGATATCGATCTTTTTTTCTCGTAGTGATCCAGTTGAGCAAGACATCATTAATTCTGGAGTCTCAGGCCAAGCATGAGACAGGACAGCGGTTTCCCTCGTTTTGGCCGAGCTGTTGGTGCGAAAGAAAAAGAAATAGGCTAAAGATAGGCAGTTGCAGAAAATCCCCTCACTTCCACCCACATGTCCTGCATAATAGAAGAGGAAAGAAAAAGCCGCGAGGGGATGGGAGTTATGTGGGAGAGCCATCACGCTGTGATAATGGGGAACCAGTTCTATAGTTGTTTCTGCTGTCAGACCGTAGTGACGCTGAAAGACATTACAAGCTGTGAGGGAACGTTTTATTTTGAGCGAAGAGAGGAGGCTCTGCTTTAAAATTTTACAGTGGAAATTGGCTTGTAGAGCTTTGGTGCGAATGTCTACACCAATTATGGGAGACAGAATTCAGACTTAATAAAACACTGTACAATATGTTTTTTTGACAAAATGTCTTTACATCACTGTCCCAGCTACACTTTAAGATTTTCACCATGTTTCCTTCAATCATTGCTTATCGCTCATTTTCAATCTGTTAAAAACAAATGCGGGCTGCAAGGTGATGCAGTTGGTTAGCACTGTTGACTCGCAGCAAGTCCCAGTGGGCGCACCAGGATCTTTCTGCGTGGAGTTTGCATGTTCTCCCCATGCAGTGTGGGTTCTCCCCGGGTTCTCCGGCTTCCTCCCACAAGTCCAAAAACATGTCGAGGTTAATTGGTGATTCTAAATTGTTCGGAGGTGTGAATGTGAGTGTGCTTGGTTGTCTGTCTCTAAGTGTGGCCCTGCGATAGACTGGTGACCTGTCCAGGGTGCCCCCTACCTTCGTCTTAAGTCGGCTGGGATAGGCTCCAGCCCCCCGCGACCCTAGTGAGGATTATGCGGTGTACAGATAATGGATGGATGGATAAAAACAAATGCACACTTGCTAAATAAACACTAACACACACACACACACACACACACACACACACACACACACACACATAGGTGGAAAATGCTCTTGAGCAGGTCACGCCTGAGTAGTGCAGCTTTTTCCATGGCAATGCGAAGCCAGCACTGTGGGGGGTGATGTGGGAGGTGAGTGGTGACAGGGCTGGGTTCAGCGACCCTGTGGATGGGGCAGCCAGATCACAGGCATCGCTGCTTCACCAGAGGACATCTGTGAGTGGCAGATTAAACGGCTGTCTAAACACACAGAGATCTGCGAGTAAAGGTCAGCTAACACCAGGAGGGCAAGAGGGGGCAAATGTACATTCACACGCGTCGCCTCGACAGAAAATTGGACAGTCAGTCATCTGTGACTTTCATTGGCCACCACAAAAATTCCGACACCAACCGCTCTCTGTCCGTACTTACACTGGCCGGGTGCTGAGATAAATATTTAACCTCATTGTTAAACATTTAATGCAGCTGTTAATGCAGAGCCAGTTGAGATTAATAAATGTATTGAAACTAATCACCCTGACTTTGTAACTCTCTGGCAGCTACATTAAAGAGATTTTTTGCTTTAAATTGTGTATTTATAGATAAGAAAGTAACACTACCAAGTACATTTTTGTAGACATTTCAGAATATTATTATTTTTCAGCATGAAATCCAGTCAGTTGCTTTGTACAACAAAGCAATGTTTTATCAGCGGCATTGTAAGTAGAAATAATACAGCTTTTTCATTCGCTTTATTGACTCGCAATGAAATGCAACCTCCATATTTTTTCTCTCTTCTTGATGTGGAAATTTTTCCCCCAAATTTGTTTAAAAATAGCACAAGTTACTTCCAGACTTTGACAAAGGAGACTCAAATAAGTGGTTTCTGCTCAGTAATGGTACATTTTCCGTCTCCTCCCCATCAGTATGGACCCTTTCACATCCCAGAGGACGCTCTGGTGGGCACCACGGTAACAGCTGTGCTGGCAGGGGATGCAGATGTTCGAGGCGGAGACAGCTGGCAGGTGGACTACCGTTTGGAGTCTGGAAACGAGGAGGAGGTCTTTATGTTGGTGACGGACAAGCAGACCAATGAGGTGTCGCTTGTGCTCTCAAAGGTGAACAGTGCAAAACATCCCACAACCTCCTGTGCACACGTATTTGATCACACTATGTTTGCTTACAACACATACCAAAACCAGGTAAAACAAAGGATCCAAAGGTTCAAATAAAGGGGACGTTGATTGTTTTCTTTATCCTGTTTAGAGTATGAGAGAGGGCAAACAGACCTCTCCTCTCAAGGACAATTTTTGGCATGATGGCGTGTCTCTGTCCTTGCGATGTGTGCAGTGCTAAGAGTTCATTCAATAGCTGACCGTGTCAAAATAGCAGCCGCATAAAGAGTTTTAAGGGGGCACGATTTTAATAACACAGCGTGCACGTGTGGGGTAACAAAAGAAAGGTCGGAGTAGAATATTCCAATAACTCAGACTGGCCTGCCTCAAATAGAAAAAGAGTCCTGACGACAAAGGGATGTTTTAGCCCAATAATCTCTCGTGTCCCCAGGGTGCATCACCCTTCACCCGCCTCCTATAATCCAAGCAGGGCGTTTAGGGATGATTGTGAGAATGAGTGTGTGTGCCTGTGTAAGTTTTTGTGCGTAGCTTGTAGCGGTCGGCTCTCTGTAAAGTGGGCTGGGATGGAGACACTCCATTATTTTCAACCTCTCTGTGGGAGTTGATGAATGAGATTGAACCGTGAGTTGCTCCTCCGAGATAAGGCATGAGATGTCCAAAAGATAAAGATGAGTCCCGCTGTATTATTTTACATTAACATTTCAGTTTTTAGAACTGAGAAGATTAAATTCTTGTCTCTTTGGGTAGGTGTGCTTAAAGCTCTTGTATTGACCTTGTGAGATCTCACTCGCTAACTCTGGAAGGGACACTGTTGTCTATTTAGCTAATTTGAGTAAAAATAAAAGCTTGAAATAAAAGCTTGAATCTTTCACAAGTGAAGCCCCAGTGGATTAAAAGGCTCTTGAGCAAATCTTTTAATTCATCGAGTTACAGTGTGAGGTCAACACCAGAAGGCAGACATTTCATTATTAGAAATCACACACTGCTCACAGCTCGAGTCAATAATTAGATTGTGTGAGCAGACACTAATGGCAGTTTACCACACAGGCTACAAGTTGCCAGTTAAGGCAAATGTATAATGACCTAGGAGAACTGAGGGGAATCTAATCAGTGCAGAAGAACTGTACCATTAAACATTCCACTGAGTGGAAAACCATTTTCTGAAAGAAAAAAAATGCTATTAAATTTAATTTGCAGTTAATATGAAAGTGGGCTGGTAACAGTTAAATGTTAAATCTCAGGTGTCATTACTTTGCAAAATATAGGTGGGATTAATTTCCATGAATTTGCCCGATGGATTAAAGAATCTAGAAATATAGGATATTTAAATTAACATTCAAAGACCAGAGTTTTTTAATGGTCTTCAGATGGAGAGCAGGCAGAATAATATGTCTCATTCAATAGAAACACAGTTCTTTAAAGTAACCACTACACTGAATATGAATAATCTGTACATATACATATATAGATAATAATAGACAGATAATGCATTTGAAATGTTATATAGCATTTCTTTATGATGTGTAACATTTTCATTTTAGGAATAATATTTCTTCTTTGTGTGATATATTCAGATTTCATGTACATTATCATGTGTGATATTACTTTACAACCTCAGTGTCACTGCCGGTATTACTTTTGATCTCATTTTAGCTTACTTATTTTTATTTTCAGTAACATATTGTATTTTTATCCTTCTAAAGACGTCAAAAACCCATCATTCGCGACCTGCAGCACCAACCGGCAAACAAATAAAGTTACTGACTAGAGAATTTAGCAACAAAAGACACATGCAGCACACAAATACAACAATGCAAAAGAGTGTTACAGTAGTTAATAGGCACATGTATGTTAGCAAGGGTCACATATCAGCTGAGAGTGATACTAGATCTGCAGTTATTACAGTTTCAAATAAAATATTGAGTGTAATCCTTTTAATTGTGAGCATACAAATACAAACAAGACGACAATCAGTTACTTTTCAGGAATATGTCTGGTTATTTGTTTCAAATGCAAACCATGGTGGTGTTTGAATATCAGGCGTCACTTTAACAGTATAGCTGAGGTTGATAATTAGGTTGATAATGACACTTCACCAGTATGTAATTCACACATTAGGATACACAGAAATAGTGTCATGTGAGGTTTTTTGAGTAATATAGCGGTTCATGTAACCATCTATAGCCCCCAGAGAGTTCATGCAAATCTTCTGATACACACTGAGCAGTCTGATGCGTCACTTCCAGTCAGCGGCAGTACTCATCCATCCTCCAAGGTTTGCATTTCTTCTCCCTGGCAACAGAGACATAATCAGCCTGAGCAGCATGATGTCAGGCAACACCAGTTTAATAATGTCTTGTTTTACGGGAAGATAGAACACATTTAAGGGTAAAACCTGACATCAGACGTGAGCTTCAGGGCGCATCTGGACGGTTATGTTAAAATAATCACATTTCTTTGAGGTTGAGATTGAATCATAGGATTTCTTTTCCTTCAGCTGGATTCTTTAGCCTCTAAAACCATATAAAATCTGTACATATGTGACAAGTATTTAAATCACCGACTGCACTGTAAACTATAAAACCACAGTTAATCTTTCCATACCCCGACTACGAAAATACATTTTTAATCCATCAAAAAAGTCAGCAGGTCACAGTTACTATTTTCAGAGTCCAGATTATGGTAATCCTATCACTTGATATCTTTCTATTTTGCTGCAAATATTTGAACCCAAATATAGAACATACTGTGCACACCAGAGAAGAAACAAAGGTATTAACATTTCTGGATTGATTTATTTGTCCATGTATGATGTTTTATGATCTTTTAAATCAAGAATTTGCATATTTAATAGCATATAATTTCACCATTATTATATATCAGTGCATTCAATTCACATGGAGGTATGTATTGCATACTACATGTGGCAGTTATGACATCATGGAAAATGTTTCATTTCTGACAGAGCAAATCAACTTCTTGTTCTCAGTGTCTGGATCATATTAGAAATACAGCAATACTCTGCCAGTAAATCCAGTTTCCTTGGAAGATAAGCGGACAAAACACGAGGGACTGTACTGTGTCTTTTTCCTGCTGGCAAGAACAGCATGCTGTTTTTGTTGATGCTATGTTAGTGTTCTGAGAATTCATCTACATTCCTTCCATTTTTTACAACAGCTGTTTATCTGGGAGTTTTAACAGTTTTTGATTAATGGCTAAGGTGAATAATCTATTTAAGGACCAGCTTACCCCAATCAAAAAAACAACACAAAACATGATTTCTCTCTTAACCTTAAATGCATTAAGATAACTTATGGATTGGTGCTATGCATTCAGTGCCTTGACAACTGAAGAAAGCAATGTCTTATAAATCATCCTCCCGTTTATGTGGATGTACCTACCTTGTGTGTGTTGTAAAGAAATATCTTTGAAGAAAAGATCATACTGTACAGTGTAGTGTAGTGTAATGTAGTGGAGTGTAGTATCATTTACAACTTCACCAAAGTCTGTTTTATTAATTGTGCTTCACAGGTATTGGACTTTGAGCGTGAGAGTGAATACATCTTGGTGCTTAGTGCACAGAATCCTGTTGCTCTGGTCCGCGGTCGATACGGACCTGCATCCACAGCAACGGTGTCTATCTATGTCGATGATGTGAACGAGGGTCCCATCCTGTCTCAGAGCCATTATGAGGTGACCGTCAGAGAGGGGGAGGAACCAGGAAGAGTTATAGCCACCATCCGAGGTTATGACCCCGATTCTCACCCAATAAGGTAACCAGTTCAGGAAGACTTAAGCATGAAGCATTACATATCTAATTTTACAGAGTTATGCTTTATTTTCATGCAGATATTCTCTTCAAGGGGACACCAAGAAATACTTTTCAATAGGAAAGTATTCTGGTGAACTGAAGACTGTGCAGGCCTTGGACAGAGAGGAGAACAGCACGTACACCATGGAGGTCATTGCAGTGGATGGACGTAAGATAGTTTCCGTCACTATTAACACCACACAGCTGTTTGATTCAAAGTAGACTCTGTGTGTGTTCATTTAGTCAATGGTTTAGTAGTTGCGATTTTTGAGTGTCTTACTAAGTTTCTTGCTTTCTGATTAAGAAGAAACCCTAAAGAACCACCATTTGTGTGTGGCTGCACCTTTTTTTGTATCTCCTATGTTCATCTTAGGAAATTCTTCCTTGTCTGCATCCACTCTGGTGACTGTCCAGATCCTAGACGTGAATGATAACAGCCCAGTGCTGGTTGGAGATTATTCCTGGAAGTACCTGTGCACACCTCGCTGGGAGGACCAAGCTTTGGTGCTGGCTTCACGGGACAGCGATGGACCACAGCACGGGGGGCGGCTTAATTTCTCCCTCCGCAGTGACGCCGCAGTTCGACGTAACTGGAAGCTAACGCCTATTAATGGTGAGGTGAATGCATACAAGGTGAACCCAGTCACCCCACAGCACACAGTAAAAGCTCTATTATTCAGAGAGATGAGGAAAATAAGGTAACACTGTGAGGAGAAGCTCTGCTAAGCCAATTCTGTACTAGATTTGGGAGATTTACTAGCTAGATTTGGGAGATTTACTAGCTGGGATTAAAAGCACACTATCATCACCAACATGTTCTTATCAGTTTCCAGGGTGAATTTGTGACTTCTAATTTAAGCTTCAGACTGAAGTCACACTTTTCATATTAATTTTTTTGTTTATGGTTTCAACATAGACACATTTATACATTATCCTGTAGTTTGAGAAGGTTTAAGATGTATATGTGAAATCTGTGTTTTTATGGATGGTCCAAGCACACTGCTAAACTGTTCTAATTAATGTACAGAGGAGGGAAGTTAATTTATTGGACATGACAGGTTGCTACCATTGGGCTGCAAGGTTATACAGCTTGACAATACTTTCTAAATACAGCCAGTGGACATCTAGTTTGCCACATGTGTGCTAACTGTTTTGACCTATGTGAATCAAAAAAAAAGGTAAACTGCCATTCATGAGTACAGATAGTCAAAGAAATAGAGTGATCTGTCCCTGAACATGTACAAATTGCCCTGTTCTGTTCTTCCTGCATAATTTCACCAGCCCTTGCTGGGATGGGAGATATAATGTAATTATCTTTTTTGCTTTTTTGCTTTTTTTTGCGGTTGTAAACCGTTAGTGTTGGGCTTATTCAATGCCAACTATTTACAGCTATGACGTCTGTCATTAAGCCATTCAAACAGCTCAACTGCTTCCCTCTCAGGTTTTTTTTTTTTATCTTGCTCTTTCACTCCCCTGTTCCTGTTGGTATTGATTGAGCCCAGCTGTAATTATATCTTCTGTGTAATTTCTTTGGCGTCACCACTGGTTTCCTGCCAGCTAATGGGGGCTAAAAGAGGACTCTCCCAGAATGCTTTGCACCTGGTCACAGGCAGTGATGGTTATACCAATAAATGTGCACTTGTGCCAATGTAATTTTGCTGCAGAGGTGCACGGTTCACGTGACACAACCACAACCAGTTATGAAAAGAACACGTGTGTTTGCGCATGCATGTTTATTGTCATATTCATCTCAACGCTTTCATGGACTTGATTGAGAGTTCATTTCAATGCAGAAATCAGTTAGTGAGGCTCCATGCTCTCGTTCCACTTACATCCACTGTTAATGACTGTTCATAGAGGCAAGGAAAGAAATGTGTTACATTTAGTCTGCCTGTAACACATTTAATGGCACTGAAATGTAAAAATTCTTTCTGGTGTCACAGTCATCCAAAATAGTTCTGGGTAAGTGGTTGGTCACACATCCAACCTGCAAAATGTCACACCAAAGGTGAAATGGTGCAGACAGAGGATAAATATGTTAACATTAACAGCTTCTACAGACGGGCTGCGCAGCTCGTGTTTCCCTGATTGACAAATGGAACATGAAGGGGAATGATGGTATGGTGCACGTGTAGACTTAAAGGCCCCCAGATAAGGGTTCAAACAGCTGATAAAACCCCTTTTCTTTACAGGACGGGGTTTTTATGTCATGTAGCCGGGCTTGTATTTAAGGCTGATTTACAGAGATAAGATAAAAAGTGACAAGCTCCAGGCCACTTTGCACACAGCTCCGTCAGTCTGTCTCATGCAGTGTGTCATATAGTTATGAATATGGATGTGTTTCTTTCGTTATGTGATGACTTTTTCATCGTAAAATATTTTCTACTGGTGCTGCTGCTACCTGCTGTAGGATGTAACAATGTATTCTGCCTAATTTCATACCTTTTTCAAAGTGGATTTTTAAAAAATCTGTCATATGGTGAACACAAATGTTGCTACCATTGTGTATATATTTCTTAATCCCTCAAATACAAGTGCAAGGCAGCACAGGCTTGCTCTTGTAATGAGGTATTGCATGGAGCTTTGATGGTGAGTAAATGTAATCAATCAAAAACTTACAAGACTACACTTGACCACCTTTACCTCGTCATTCATGCCACATGAAGAGCATCTCTTTGTAATTCTGTCACGGAAATGTTTGTCCTTCAGATACTCACACCAACTTGTCCTTAAACATTCCGTACTTGGCCCCTGAAGTCTACACTGTGCCCTTCACCATCTCTGACAGCAGCTCTCCTCCCAGAAGCACCTTCATAAACTTGCCAGGTAATGCTGACACTCGTGCTGATGAGCTAAAGCAAGCGCAGGGAGGTTATGGGACGAGGGCGTTGGAACAATCAATAGAGATCAGCACCCGTGTGCCAGCTTGTCCTAGCTTGGCTCGTGTTTATTAATGATGCAGTAGGACTTTAAAAATGATTTTTCCAGCCTTGTGATTACACAGCTTTCTTAAGACTCTGTCCTGCCCAATACAACCATACCGACACCATATGTATACAGCACAAAATGACACATAGCTTCTTGTGCACCGGTTGGGATAAATTACACACTGAAGAGAATAAGTGGTGTAGGTACACAGAGTGTCCATTGATTTGTTGAACGCCCACCTGTTCTAGAATTGAACCAATGACACACTTCTTACAAAAAACTCACATGAAAAGCATATGTGAAAATGACATTTTGTGTTGTCTCCTTCTATAAAAATGTCATTTTTCATTTATGATACAGTACAAATATAGATGTGTACAGTATATGCAAGTAAAAGAAACAGGTCAGAGAAACATTTGTCAGGAGCAGTTATTTGTCAAAGTAGAAGTTTTTGTAACTGTAAAATTACATGCATCAATCCTAAGCACAACATTAATTTTACTAAATGAGTTGTATTTCTTATTCAGTTGTTGGTGTGTGATGTTACAAAACCTGTGATCCATGAGTGTTTTTTTGTTTAACGGTTTCCCTCTTCTGATAGTAACGGTGTGTCCCTGCAACGTCAGAGGGAACTGCAAAATGGCTGCCAAACAGCTGCAGGGAATGCCAACAATTCAGTCTGCAGTGGGCATTTTACTTGGCACCTTTGCAGTCATAGGTAAGCGGTGCTGACAAAAGCAGACTGAGCACATAATGAATGTTAAACACCAGCGCACCTGAGAATACATTATATGCTCCATTGTAAGATTCCAAAGTAGTATCATCTATTCACTATATTTTACAGACAAGTAAGTAATGCTGTCGCGATATCATGGAATGTAGTGTTTATTTTTTTATTCCAGGAACCATCCTCATTGTTGTGTTTGTGAGACTGTCCTACCAGAATCCCAAACAACCGAGCAAAACTAACCAGGAGAGAGTTCCCTTGAAGATTTCCATCTGATGAGGATATTCACCCTGCTCGCTGGACCAATGTAACAATGTTACTTTTAGGGCACTAAATTCATTTATTTACCGTGAATTTGTGACTGTAAGTTTCAGTTATTAAATCAAACTCAGATGTACACAAAATGTATTTTATCTTAGTGTAGTATACTAAGTGCTTGGTCCTGTGCCTGGGACAAAATTTTAGCTTGTGTTTTGAGTTTGTCATTTTTCATTGCTGTGAAGCTGTTAATTTGTTTCAGAATGGCACCTATTTACAATAATGTTATTAGGGCCATGGTCAGGAAACACATGTTAAGTTGTAAAGAAGTTACTATAATTTATGGAAAAGTGTCAATTTTACAAGAAAATGTCAAAAAAAAAATTGAGAAAACAGTAATAAGATTAAAACATTTAAAAAGTGACTTCTTTCTTGTAAATTTTCAATTTTCGATTTAACTTTTGTGTTGTAATTTACACTGCATGTACCTGTTATTCATTTATGTTAAACAGACCGAACACTGAACTATGTTTCTTTATATTGTAATTATGATAAGCTGTTACAGCAAGATTTTTAGAAAACCAGAAATCAGATGAAATATGCCCACAAATGTGGAGATGTGATTTTATGTAATTGAACACATTCATAGAAATAAAGCGTGTTGCAAGCACCACATAATTATATGATTCCATGTGGCTATATCAAAGTATAACTGTGTATAAGTTGTGCGGTAGTCCTACACCTCTCATAGCTGTGGGCCATTGTTCATTCCTTGTAGCGACCTGCTATCTTCCACATTATAAACCAAAACACTTCTAATCTAATGAGACAGCCTGAACTTGTCCTGTGTTTGTAACTGCATTAGCAGCATGCTCCAGTCTCTGTGATTAAGGCTTTAAAAATGCTGACCCTGACAACCTAACAGGCAAGCAAAGCTATATTCAGACCAAAGTGTTGCTATGAATAGCTCAACAACTGAGGATCCGCTCAATGACATTCAGCGAGCACTGTCCAAGGAAGTAATCACCTCCCGTTAACAAACTGAATACATGCTACGTGCTCATTCATTAAACTGCTGTCTCAACGCTTTAATGAAGCTTAGATAATTGTTCATATTCAACTGTAAAGCGGAAAACAGGCCAATTGATTTTGCAATTTAAAACTCTGAGGTAAAGTTGCTGCACGGTTAGATACAGATCATTTTTGACACCAGCTGTTTGCTTTAGAATTCCTTTAATCATGACTTTAACAAAAGCTAAACACTGAATTCATCACGCCCTAAAATGGCTTAAATGTAACACTAGACCTTTGTGTCCTTTAGAATATGTGCTTCTATAAAGTCCGTGCATCTCTCTCCACCCACCCATTCCTATTCGCTGCAGCTCAAGCACACCAGCTTACCTACAACTCCACTCAAACACAATGAAATTATTCTCCGCTACAGAATGGCAAGTTGTACTAAAGGATTAATTCAGTCATACATGCATGCAAGACTATTGATATGGAAAACCACAATCCAGAAAATGTAAGGGATTGGATAAAACCATAGCTATCTCAATCAGTGTTTTAGAAACTGTAATTGGTATACTACAGTTTCAAGGTGAAAATGTTCAGCCATGGTATTAATGGCCTTTTTCACTCATGATGTGTCTTCTAGCGTATAAATAACAGCATTTTTTTCAAATTTTCTTTTTCATAGCAGACATACACACGTGGACAAAATTGCTGGTAGCCCTCGGTTAATGAAAGAAAAACCCACAATGGTCACAGAAATAACTTGAATCTGACA